TTGGTAATAAGATAATATCAACGGCTGAACGCAGAAAGGTTTTTTGGTACCGAATAATACTGAAACATTTAATATCTGGATATTATTAATAAAGAGTATATACTTTTGAAAAAGGTATTTCAGGTACTAAATACTAGACATAAACTGCGTATGTCAATGTCAAAACCCGGTTCATCTTATTTATCGTATCATATATTTAACATATAAAGGGTAGCCCGTTAGTGCGAGGAAGTCGAATATCGGTTGTCAAAGATATGAAAAACAGTTTTATATAGATGTTGCATGGTTTATAATGGTGCATATCCTAAAAATATTTTGTTGTACAGGGTGGCGCCTCTCATACGCCGCGGAAGCTCCAAGGAGAACGGTAGTTTATATCAAGATGAAATTTTGGCAGCATATGTAGGTTAACTGAAAACATTTTATAAAAATTTATAGAACTACACAGGACGTCTCCAAAAAAAGTTGCACATCAAAGTTGTGTTTTTTCTAATGGAACACCCTATATATTAATTGATTTTCGGATTCTAGGAAAAAAATAAGGGTGTTTATTAAAGAAGCATATACCTAAAATCTAAGGATTTTGACATATTTTCACATTTTCTGAAAATGAAGAAAGAATATTGCACTACAGTTCAGCAGCCATGCAGGACACCATGGTTCAAACAATATAAATTCTTGACAAAGCAACAAATAACCACCATGTGTCGACTCAGATCAAACCATTGCTTATCCCCGTCACATCTCTATAAAATCAGAATTAATAGAGATAATTTGTGTCAGTGTGGAGAGGTTGCTGCTGTCTTTCATTTGATAATTGCTTGTCCACATAATTATAATCACCAAAAAATCTTATATTCCTATTTCGACAATGAGATAGAGCAAAAACCGATTTCCCTGCATGACATCCTTTTTAAATTCAATAAGACAGAACACATAAAACAAATCGCTTTGTTTTTGAATGTTAGTAATTTAAAACTCTAAATATTTACTAATAACAAGCCTAACAATAACTTTATAATCAAGAGAAAAACTAGCCGTAAATTGAAAATGTCATAATCACATTTTCTTGAAATGCACAGTAATTATTGGGACTTAAGAACTGCAGCTTCAATCGTAGAATGCATGAGTAACTGAATAGTTGCAGAGCTTAAAGCAACCTGTTTAATAGCCTCAATAATTAATTGTTAGTCGTTAAGAAAGATAAATCGGTGAAAGTTCATAAAGCGTGACCACCCAAAAAAAAAGAAAAAAGAAAAGCAGAAAAGTACTTTGCCAGAATGGTCCTGGCAGCCTAGGCAACGCAACTCTCTCCTGAAAAGGAGAGTTTAAGAAGAAAGAAGAAGAAGAATAGTAAATTTTAAATTGCTACCAAAATTTTAGTTGACCTTGTATAGCCTAATATTTAATTACAGTAATCATTGTATGTTAAACCAAATTGAAATTTGACCCGAAAAGTTATACAAGGTGAGACAAAATTAATATTGAACATTAGTCACTTTTAAAAGCAAAAGTTACTCCATTATTTTAAATGGAACACCCAGTGGCGTAGCTACCTAGGGGCTAGGCGGGGCAGTGCCCCGGGGCCCTCAAGCTCAGGGGGCCCTCGAATCCTTACCAGAAATCTCGATCGAACTGAACTTTTGGCAATTTCTCCCATTTTCAAAATAAATATAACAGGTTGCAACCCCACTTTAATCATGACAATTCAGTTGAGAGAAATTCAAAAGTTATGCCTAGGGAATTCCCCTAGATTTTTTCTGTAGGTTGGCAGTGTTGTCAATTTGACGGATAGTGGTTTGTGCGTTTTACGTGAACGACATCAATTATGCATTCAAAACTTTACAAAAATGCGACTTCAATTTGGGCGAGGCCGAGGCGAGTAAAGTTTTAGCAGAGACCAAAGCAAAGTTGCAAATTTATAGAAATGATTTCGAATTATTCAAGTGCAAAGCCAGTAAAACTACAAGAAAATATGGTATTGATACCCATTTTCAAGAAAGAAGGCAAAGAAAAGTTAAAAAACATTTTGATGGATTAGCTGCTGTTCACCGATTTCCAAACCGAGAAAAAATATTTAAAATTGAGATTTTCAATAATATACTAAACATAGTAATATCTCAATTAGATACACGTTTTATTGGTATGAGTGCAGTCTGTCATATATTCAATTTTCTAACACCAACATTTTTATTACATGTTGATGAAGCAACTTTATTACAAAAGTGCGACGAATTTCAAAGAAAATATTCAGATATAATAGGCCCTAGTTTTTCACTTCAATTTACTAATATTTACCACCTAGCTTTACCTCAACTAACTGAAGGATGGACTGTTCACCAATTATGTAAGAAAATAATGAGCAAATATGGAGTCCTAGAATGCGACCTAACGGAAGTATTTACAGCAATGTTACTACAATTCCTGTCACTTCTGCAGCAGCTGAAAGGTCATTTAGCAAATTAAAAATAATAAAAAAATATTTAAGAAATAATATGGGCTAAATTCGACTCCGACATTTATCGCTAATAGCCATTGAAAACAAAACCGCATCAAGCCTGGATTTAAACGGAGTCATTGATACTTTTGCTAAAACTAAAGCTAGGAAAAGATTGTAAATGTAATTGTTATTTAGTCAGTTGGTAGGCCCGAACTTTATATAATAAACCCTTGAATCTTCTCTATTTCGTTTTGTTAGCCAAACCTACACCAAATTAATTGTAATTTATGTTGTTACTGTTTAATATTTTTATTATCTGCCCTGCAGTTCACAAAAAAGAGCTTAAGTAGCTTAGCATTTTTAAAGTATTTGTATATTTTATAAAACCTAATCAGTTTACATAGCAGTGGGGCCCCATCTTTTAATTTGCCCCAGGGTCCTTGGTTACCTAGCTACGCCACTGGGAACACCCAGTATATTTTTTCGGTATTCAATGGGGAATTTATCTATCTTCAAAATATTATTAAGGTTGCCTACCCCTCAGACAAAGATTTTCCTAGATATCATAAAAATTAAATTATGATTTTGCGCCAGTAGATCTTTATTATTTGAAAACATCTAGGTGGCTGTGTGATATACCTTTTGTTAATTTAACAAAAATTAAAGATTGTAGAGTAAAATACTCAACGGTAATAAAAAGATACAGATTTAAAACATATTTTAATTATTACAGAATTAAAACTAGATTATAAACTTATAATTATGTGACAAAAATTAGCTAGATGAAATCAAATGCTCAAAATGCTTCCTTTCCTGTTAACTGCATAAAATAATTGCCTTTTCAAAAGGTTCTTTTCATTTTAAAAGACATAATATGTGGAGTTCTACTTCGAAAAGCAGCTACAATAATTTATCTCAAGTTGTCGACAATAGTTGGTCGAGTTTTTTAAACACTGTCTTAAACATATCCCCATAAAAACAGACTAGATAAAATCAGGAGCATTTAAGTATTCTATTAATTGGTGAATGCACACTGCATTCACCAATTAATAGAATCATATCAATTCCCTCTGATGTAGGATAAGTTTGCATTTTCGGCAAATTTATGAGAAATGTTTTTGTTTTAACTGACGCAAAATGATAACTAGTTGTTAAAGTTGGACTAATTATTTGTTGAAGTAACGTCAGACATATCACAGCTACCTAGATTTTATCAAATAATAAAGGTCTACTCAGATCAAATCATGCAAATGAAAATATCTAGGAAAATCTTTGTTTGAGGGGTAGGCAACCTTAATAGTATTTTGAAGATACATGAATTCTCCATTGAATATCGGAATAATATACTGGGTGTTCCATTTAAAATAAATGCGTAATGAGTAACATGCTTTTAAACGTGGCCAATGTTCAATAGTAATTTTGTCTCACCCTGTATAACTTTTTGGATCAAGTTTTAATTTGATTTAAAGTAAAATAGTTAATTTAACTACATATTAGGCTATACCGGGTAAATTCCAATTTAGGTAGCTTTTATTGTAATTTAAAAATTGTTTTTTATTTCTAGAAAATGTTAAATATGTCAAAAACCTTACATTTTAGTCATACACTTCTCTTATAAAACTCACCTTTATTTTTCTCCCAGAATCTGAAAATCGATTAATATATAGGGTGTTCCATTACAAAAAACAACTTTGATATGTCAATTTTTTGGGGGACACCCTGTAGAACTCTCCATATTTTTAAAAAGTGCTACGAATTAACCTACATATACAAAATTTCATTTCAATACAAACTGTCGTTTTCTTTGGAGCCTCCGCGGCGTATGAGAGGCGCCATCCTTTATACAATAAAATATTTTTATGATATGCCCCTTTATAAACCATGAAACATCTATATAAAACTTTTTATTCATATCTTCAACAATGACGACAATATTGGACTTCCTCGCACTAATGGGCTACCCTGTATAATTTGGCTTGTTGGTAGTACAGATTAAATAAGTAGAAATATACTAAGTATAAGTTTTTACCTTATATAATAATATCTAGAAAACTGTTACGCTTAGATAACACTTTTTCTGCGTTCATCCATCCGATGGGAGTTAAAATTGGAAGATAATAAAAATAATTATTTGGATAGAGTACATAACAGGTCTCTCTAAATTTGTCCAATGTCTTCACAAGACAGGCAAACATTATTTGACATCTATTTTGTTTTTTACACATTTTCCTATGCCTAGACTGTCAAATTATCATCTTAAAAATAATTAACTTACGTCCTAGATCTCCTTATATTTAAGAAATAACACATTTTGGAAAATCACAGTGGGCCTATAAATATTTTCAATACATTTAACGTGTTAAAGAGTCATGGGGAGAGAGCACTAAAAAATAAAATTCTACAACAAACAGGTTTATATAAAAAAGTTTTAAATCTAGCTAGTATGGAGATGTGTTGCTCTCTTGGATTTATGTACGAATGAAATGGAAATGCGGGAATAAGTTTTGTATTGTTCGAGATATTTATTTGGGCAAGATATTCTTGCTATAAAGCGCACGTAGAATGAAAACGTATGGTAGAATCCACTATTCTAAGGAACTTTGTGTAATTTATTTCGCTTATAACCCTTTTTATCGTAGCTGATATGGTATTAGTGGTATGTTATTGTGTTTCCGAACACTTAAACTCCTTGGGACAAATCCTTGATTGCTTGCAAGATCCTCTTAACATGTCCGACCTTAAAACAAAAAGAACATATTTAAAATTGTTTTTCATTGAACTTTTAAAGAACAAATGACTGAACAATATGCAACAAAATTAGTAAATGTTGATATACCGGGTGCGTCTCAAAAGCGGCTCATCCCTATAACTTTTTTATTTTTTCGGATAAAACAATGATATTTGGTATGTTATGTATATGACATAAATTGGGATTGATTGACGTATTCAATTATTGTCGGTCACTTCCGGTTTCACCGGAAATGACTATAACCTTTTATTTTTAAATGGCACCCTCGGTATTTTTTTACTTTAATCGATAGAAAATGACACTCTCGGGGTGCAGCCACACTATCCTAAAAACGGCGTATCGGCGTAACGGCGTAACGACCTTGAATCGATTTCCAGTAATTCTATTGGCTGAAATTTTTGACAGATGAATTTGACAGATAAAATTTCTGACAGATGAATGTTTCAGCCAATAGAATTACTGGAAATCTATTCAAGGTCATTACGCCGTTACGCCGATACGCCGTTTTTAGGATAGTGTGGCTGCACCCTAAATCGAATGACATATCATATGTCAACTTTTGACATTTTCGCATATAGTTTATTTGACATTGTAACCTGCGGTTCATAACGACAATTTGACTCAAAATACCAAGTGTGTGGTATCAAATTATTCGTAAAAAAATGCTTTTTCCAAATATGCTAATGAGCCACCCTTGTTCCATTTGAAAAAATTGAGATATGATTAAAAAAACGATTTGGGCATCTTTTAACCGGCCAGGACAAGACACTACAAACATTGGACGATCAAATCTATTTTTCCAAGGCTCCTTGATTGAAAATTAGTGTTTTTAACACAACCATGGCACTCTAGATTGAAATTTAAAATAGAATTTGTTTTTGAGTGACTATGTCAAAAATTGACATTCAGAGTGTTATTTTCTACCGAATAAAGTAAAAAAGTCTGTCAAAGTAAAAAAATACCGAAAGTGCCATTTAAAAATCAAAAGTTGTAGTCATTTCCGGTGAAACCGGAAATGATCGAATACAATTGAGTACGTCATTCAATCCCAATTTATGTCATATACTAACATACCAAATCTCGTAGTTTTATCTGAAAAAATAAAAAAGTTATAGGGGGTGAGCCACTTTTGAGACGCACCCGGTAGGGCATCTGTTTTATGATATAAAAGCTGATTTACACGTATCCAGCAGCTGGCGCCAGTTTCGCTGATGAACCGGCACTGAACCGAATTAGTAGTCAAAAAGTCTGACATCAAAAAAGGTCTAGATTCTCATCAAATTACCACCGTTCTCATACTTTGTCAGTCATAAGTGGTCCACTGGAAAAGATTAAATTCGAAAATTCGTATTCCCCCACCCCACCGTTTTTGAGATATTGAGAAACAAGTCCCACAGAAAATTTTATGTTTTAAACCAAACAAAAAATAAAGAGAATTAAATTCTCTATATTTTCATCTCTAAGTAACAAACCTCTAAAACCTACGGGGACAAAGTTAGAGGGCGCCAAAGCCATTCCAATGCAGTTGTTTGCATTTTTCCGGTTGAAACCATTTTTTTACTGGCGCAAAGTTTTTAAAAGTAAAGAGCATAAAAAACCTATCAAACTGATGTGTAACCTTTTTTACGTTTTACTGTTTACGGGATATATTGCATTCATTCCCATAATGTGTATGCAGCTTTCATGAAATCAATGACGGTCGATAGGGTAGGTACTGCAAGTTACCTTCGCGGATTACGATGTTCACTCGAACTGGGGATCGTTATAACATTCTTTGATCCTTTTGAGATTTTTTTAGGTGCGCTGAAGGTAGCGTTTTTGAGAAATAACTCAAAACATTTTTTGGATTCTATTTTCTGGCTAAACAGAAAATTGTATAGAACAAAAATTGGCACCGGGAGGCCCATACTAAATAAAATATGTTAATAAAAAGTTGGTAGGCAGTTCTTTTAGTTTCGAAGTAAAGGAATTTTTCCAATTTTGGGCCGCGGTTATTTCCCCTATCCGGCACCTGGGGTCGCGTCCGATGGAACTTTGGAGTTCTCCACACGGATTTTCACAAAAACGGATTACGGAAACACGGAATATCTCTAAAACTGCGACTTTGACTGATTTTGATGTTAGGTATTACAAATTTTGTTGCAAATATTATTCCTAATCTTAAATTGAAAACCGCGTTTCGCTAGCTACTGTAATTTTGGAGTTACGATTTTTTACAATTTTTAACCCTTTCCCATATCCCCTTAACCACCCCCCACCCCCACCAAAAATCTTAATAGCCTACCATACCTGTTGGTATGGTCGGCTAAAATATGAAGAGGACAAAGTTTTTACTCAGCACACGAAAAAAATGCAAACGTCAAAACCCTCTAGCATCTACATTGTCGAAAGACGTCAGCTGATCGACTAGTTAGTGCTAGAATCCGGACCAGAAGGAGGGACACGACAATAGGCCGAGAGCAGTTGCGTGCTCGAATGCTCGCGCAGCAGCCCAGGACATTGGCAACGTTACCTATATCTCGTAAATAGTGAAACGCCAAAAAATGTTACATATAAATTTGGTAAAAATCTTACATATAATTTTAAAAACTTTGCGACAGTAAAAAAATGGTTTCACTCGGAAAAACGCAAAAAACTGCGTTTGAGTGTCTTTGGTGCCCTCTAACTTGAGTTTCTCAAAACGGTTGGGCGTTGACGACTGAAAGCAAAATTGTACCGTAGTTTTGCTTTCAGTCGACAGAGTGAGTGGTTGCCGGAGACAGTGTTGCCAAAACTACGATTAATCCGTAGATTTACAGATTTTGGGTACAATAATAATACAGATTTGCTATCATTAAACAATTTAATATAATCACTCGCCAGCAAAATTAACGCATATTTTTATTTTTTTTATTTTTTGGAAAAACTTAAACGAATTCAAAAGTAAAATTACTATGTATTTGTTAGACAACTCGTGACCCAAATAATACATTTCAAAGAAATTTTATTAACTAGCTAAACAAGAAGATACAGTGATTCAAAGAATAATGTGCAAAACGCAGTACAAAAGCATTACAAATAATCAGAAGGTAAGGTTTAATAACGGGTGTTGCCTCCCCTGGCACAGGATTACGACCTGGCAACGTTTGGACATGCTGAAAACCTCATTCCTGATTTTATCTTGCTCGATAGCGTCCTATACTTTCTCTAGTCTTAGCGATAACTCATTTAAATTGTTGGTTGGATTTGGTAGGGCTCGTAGACGCCTATCCATCATGTCCCAGATAGGTTCGATGGGATTAAGGTCTGGGCTATGCGCTGGAAAATCCATCGTCTCGATTTGGACCTCCTCCAAGTAATTGTGGACAACTCTGCCAATATGGGGCCTGGCATTATCGTGCATAAAGAGAAAATTGTCCCCTATAAAGGGAGTAAAAGGTACCACTTGAGGCTCCAAAATGTCCACAATGTACCTGTGAGCAGTGAGACGGCCTCTCTGAATGATCACCAGTTCTGTTCGAGCTTCCATATTAATGCCGCCCCATACCAGACCGACCCACCACCATAAGCATGTTTTGGTTGTATACAGCATTGCGCAAATTGCGGTCGCCCGGCCTTCTGTATACTGGAATACGACGATCGTTGCCATATAGGCAAAACTTAGACTCATTTGTAAACAATACGTTCGACCATTGATCGTTTTCCCAATTTACATGCTCTCTAGCAAAAGCCAGTCGGACTATTCGGTGCTCTGGGGACAACGGTGGTCCAGTTGCAGCCATTCTGGGTCTTAGATTATCCTCTCTAAGACGTCTTCTTATCGTATCGCTGCTTATTTGTTGGTTATATCGCCTTATAAAATTCTGGCTGAGGAATGTAGCTATCACAATCCTTTCTCGTAGAGCTTGAAGTCTCAAAAATCGATCCTGATGGGCATCGGTTATTAGGTCACGGCCTTGACCTGGTCTTCTCTGGTTATTTCCAGTATCCTGGAATCTTCTTTTTGCTCGCGACATCGTTGATTGTCCAACATGAAATGTTTCCGCTATTTGTACCTGAGACAAGCCTTCTTCAAATAATGCAATAACTGCAGCACACTCTACAGGGGTGAGATTGCGATTTTGGCGTACGTTAGGGTTCATTTTACTGATTTAAGTGTTTAATAGACAACAGCCGCGCACTCAAATAAAATGATCTTAAAATAAACGACTTCGAGCATTTCAGCGAATATACCTGTTTTGGGGATTTATAAAAACTATTGATAAATTCTTATCAGTCATGAAAAAAAAGGATCGTCTCAGCAAGAAATAATAAACAGAAGTAATTTTAGGCCAATATAATTACTCTATGTTTAACACGAATAAATTTTCAATACATAAACGCGGATTTTTTATCCAAAGATATTTCCGTCAAACGTATTACACATATTACATATTTTAATATGGCATCACTGTCCCTTTCAGACCCACACCCCCTTCGATATGCTGTCGCTAGCCGAATTAGAGAAAATAAGTGTTTTATGCGTTGGCCGCAGAAGGATTGGTGTCTCCACCGTACGGCACTTGGGACGTCAGAGGAAATCAAACCAGCCTTGTCACGAGTTCGCCCATTAGGTTGCGTATCTTCCCACTTCTTTCAATCAACGGTTTTAGCCATTCGCGGTTTATTTCGAAATTGTTAAGAGCCGTGAAACGCTATTTTTATTTCACTGTGAAAAAATCACAGCTAGTAATTTTTTGCCCATCTCTGGCGTACTTCCGTATACGCACTATACGGTTAATTTGGTGTGTAATTTTCCCGGTAGAAGGGTTCGAAAACTAACTGAAAATGCCCCTCTTAAGCCAGTTCTGTGCAAGCTAAGAGTTGGCGTACCAGTGAAACTGACACCAGCTATTGTCAACGTGTAAATCAGCTTGTACAGTATTTTAATTAGTCATGGAAAAAACCGAATAATTTCAATAATCAAGTATTCGAGTTTCAAGCGATTTCTATAAACGAGCGATCGCTCGAGCGAAATTATTCGCTCGTATTTAAAAATACGGTTTTTTGCCCGTCGCATTCTTTCGGTGATGAATGGCAAGTAGCAAGCGACTAGTAATTCGCTTGATTTAATTTATTTTAAAGTATTGCCAATGTAGGTAGTAAAATCACGGCACATAAAACAATCGGCACGACAACTCTGCTCAGATTCCATTGTTTAAAATTTCTATAAAATTTGACCTTGACGGGGCCATTAGCGTTTCCAAGTCAGCGCCGGATTAAAACGTATCAAAAATTTTCTCAGAAAATAAACTATTGATAGACAGGGTCGTATTAAAAAAATACTGTAATTGACTGAAACTGAATTTTATTTACACAATACTTTTGTCCAAACAATAGAATCGTTAACCGCGCATACTCCTCGAAAATCGTGCATTTTCTTTTAAATTTCCCTGTATATTTTTCGAAAACTTTTTAGAACTGCCTGTTCACCGCAAATTTTCCCACGGTATAATTTCTTAATGATATTACCATAGTTATGGCTTTACTCTATGGTTAAGGCAATAAAAGGGATACAAATACAGAAAACAACATTTTTCAAAAAAAACACATTTTTTTTTTAATTTTCAAACTTAAATAACTCGGTTATTTTGGACTTATCTGAAAAATGGTAAGGAGAAAATATGTTTCTTTTATCGAGATCTACCAGCCCTGAAAATATTTGCACTTATTTAAGACTCACCCTGTACATAAGTTTGTTAACATTAAATATAGATGCCAAACTTGTACATTTTTAATTAGATCTTTCTATTTAGCTGAATGTCCTAATATGTATACTACTGTTTTTCTTAACTAAAATATGTTAAAATAATTAATCACATAACAGACAGAAACTTTTATTGCAGTTTAGTCCTCTACTCGGGCAGTTTTTGCTGCACAACTTCGCCCAGGCATTGTAAAAACACGTAAAAAATAACTAATTAATCTATCAAACCACTTCTATATTAAAGATTTAAAAATGTTCAGAAAAACAAAAATAAAACTACTAAAATAAATTCTATTACACAAGAAACGAAAATAAAACTACGCAAACCAAATATATAACACAATAAACAAAAATAAAACAACTATAAAATATATATAACTCAAGAAATAAACAAAATAAATTAAGCCGTACGCTACTGACTCGAATCTGCCGTAACTGTGTCTAGTCGATGAAAAAAACTATGACACTGGTTACTTTCTGTTGATGGAAACCTTTGAATATAAAGAATGGAAACTCAAATGGCGGCGTGCGCGAGGATATGCGCATAGCGGTCCCGCCAAAGCGAGTTAGTCTGCTGATTGATTTATATGCCGTGGTAAAATTTTGTCCCTCAGATACGCAACGGATATCGTCGTATAAATTTGCTACCTGCAATGTATGTAGAAAATTCACTCGGCTTTTTATAGAATATATCACATTAAAACGGATTTCAATTTATTTGATTCTAGGATCGCTTACGGTTCGTCGCTCGTAACTCGTCATTTGCATCGCTCGTTCATAATCGACCGATGTCGGTCATTTCAATAATCGAGTACTCGAGCGAATTTTCACTCGAGTTATCCCATCACTAATTTTAATACTCAACAGATACAATATGATCGAAAAAACGTCAGCGGCAGCGATGGCTAGGAAATGAAGATCGCTGTCATTTTATATGGGGAATGTCATCGATGTTCATTTCCAAGCCAACTAGACCGTTTTTAACTTGTTTTTTTTCGATCATACTGTACTATAGTATTATGTTTAAAGAAATAAAATATCTTGCGGTTACGCAACATTTTAGGAGTAATCTTAGTTATTAAGAATAGGGAGATAGTTTGTCTTTTGATTCGTAAAAATATGAAGTTTGTATTAGGATAAATCTACTACCACAAAAAATGTTTATCGTGAAAGAGTATCTCTTGTTTTTAATATAGAGGGTATTGATTAGTAATATTTAGAAATATATATACCTTAGTTACACCTAAGTCTTTCAAATCACGCCGTGCCAGTGTTAGCAGTTCGCGCCCTCTGATGTCGTTCTTTTCGAAACTGTCGATGTATTCTGACAATTGGAGAGTCTCTAGCCAGGTGGCCACTTCCTGCGTGCCCCACGAGGCAGCTTCGCGTTTGCAACTGGAGTGACGTCGTTCCGACGATACGCTCTTTCTGAACTTCAACCAGAACAGGCCTTTCTTCTTGTGTTCACTCTCTTCGGGAACTGGCTGAAGATACACCTGACGGAAAGTAATATTTGTACAGTTAAGTATTTTTGTATAATATAGATGTCTCCAAAAAAATCCTTTATGGGTATTTCGCCACTGCACTGCAAATAAATACTGCTTGTCAGAAGTTATGTTTACATTTATACAAATTTGCCTAACAAAGAAAAAATGCTTAACGTTTCGGAAAGTTTATCTCTTTCCGTTGTACGGTGGGGTATTAGCATGAAACAGGTGATCGAAATTCGAAAAAAGCAAATGTGTTTAAGATTTCCCAAAAAAAGATAAATGATAAGTTAAATCATCTCTGCCATGAATGGCGTTGCTATGGGTGTGTTTAGTTGCATTCATTTGTTTCAACGAAACGTCAAAGTTGTTACTTCTCACAGATAAGAGGTAAATGGCTAAATTTTATGTTTAAAATTATAAATTGTTGTTGTTCTTGTGCTCTTTTTACGTTTATATTATCGTTTTGATTGAAAATGGCTCAGCAAGCTGCAGGTATGTATTCTACAAAAACGTATTATTTATTTTGATATTCTCTATACTAACGATTTTTTTGCAACTAAAAGTTAGGCGTTCAGAAAATTTGATGAAATTTGTGACATTTTTATTATACTTAGAGATTTAGTTGCGCATTTCGAAGAATTCAGCATATTGTTTATATACGTTTTACTTAGTAAACATTGAGCTTTCATACAGTAAAATAAAATACTGCGACTTTTTGCGACTTTGCTGATAAAATGAGAAAAACATTCTTGGTTTCCTCTAATTTGCCAATCAGTGATATACTAATGCGAGGTATAAACCGCGATGGCATTGTTGTGTACAAAACGATCGCAATAGTGCCATTAGCAGTATAGCACAATTTGGCATTAGTAGCGACTTTAGTGGTATGGGCATTGCTCGCGGATCAGTCGTAGCATTAGTAGTATTAGTTGCGATATTACTTCTGGCATTAGTGGCATTGACCGGAGAAACACTGGAACAGTAATTTTTCTTTCTTTTTTTAGAATCGACGAAATATCCTTTATTTTGTTCATATTATTTCTTCTTTAATTGAAAATAGCAATAATTTATATAAGGTCTACATAGAAAAATTTCGATCAACTATCTGTGTCAAATACCCCACTGTGGCGTCGTCGGAAGCAAATAAATACAAAGAAAAAAGAAAAAAGCTATTTAAAATATTTAAATTCAACTATTCGAGAACACTTTACTTTTTTAAAACAGATACGTCTAATACAAGAAACCGTTGTTGCAGTGCAGTGGCGAAATACCCCTAAAGGATTTTTTTGGAGAGAAGAATCCGCCATATAGGTATAGACATTTTTTATAATATATATGGTTGTATTCCATTATGATTATTGTATTGTTCCCGGGGATATAGGGAAATACAGGGTGTCCCAATATTCCGTGGACATAGAACTACTGAGTATTTTTGGAATCAAAATAAGTTTATTGGACAGAATTTACCTCTATACAAAGGTGCTTCGTTTGTCCGTTAGAGGGTATAAAACTTTAAAAAAATAAACACATTTTTTAAAATATTGTATGAAGCGATATTCCGATTTGAATGAGATTTGGGGTGCCTATGTTTTGCCAAGCCCCTTAACATTTGACTTACACAAAAATCAAGAAAAAGTACGGGAAGGATGAAATCTACCCCCACCCCTACAAAAATCTTAGTAGAAATATTTTCCTATTTCACCGATCGGTGATTATTTTTTTTTCGTAAAATGAACCTCATAGTATTTACTACATTTTTTGTCTCTTTTAAAAAAATCACACCGCATAGTTTTTGAGAAAAAAAATTGGAGAATTTTTTTTTCCAAAACAGACCTACAAAATATACAGTTCCAATATTCCTATGCCAGTAAGCGAGGGTTTTAGGGTCCGAATTCTGAACACCTGCACCGATTGATGTGAAATTTTAACAGTGAATAGAGAAATATGTAAGAAACAAAAGTTAGTTAGTTAGCGATGTGTGCTTTCACCCTGGGGGTGAGTGGCAAATAAAACACCTATTTTAATTGCAAAAATCAATAAAGAGATTAATTCTAAGCAAAAAATGTTCTATAACATTTTTTTCAGAAAATTAATATTTTCCGAGTTAATTGATTGAAAATGTTGATTTTTCATCTAAAAACTGGATATTATTTTTCTGCAATTTTTTATAAATAACTCGAAAACCTTGCATTTTATCGCAAAACCCATATAAAGCAAAAGTGAAGCCTTTGGAATGACGAATCGATTCGTTTTTTGTTGGTTACCATAGGTTTAATAATAGCTGAGTTATCACTCTGTAAAAGTGATTTTTTATTTTTCGAAAACTAAATTGCAACATTTTACCGTATGTATGTAAATAATGGCGAAAGAACACATTTTCCTAAGAAAATAATTATGACTATTTTTAAAGTGCTTGAAAAGACCTTTTAAATGATTTTTTAAAAAAGTTCGTAGCTTAAAAAATCGCGGAATTATGATAAAAATAAAATGGTCAACATTTTTTCGGAAAAAAATTAACAACAAAATCCATGACATAAAAACTAAGCGTAAAAATAAAAACTAAGCGTAATACATGTACAGTTGGCTATATTTAGGTACTAACAATGGGCTCTGCAAGTTCGAGCGGTTTAGAATACCTAAATTTGGAAAAAAGTGGAAAATAATTATATTTTAAAAAATTTTAATTTTTTTGTCGTATCGCAAAAACTAAGCAAGATGCGTAAAAAATACGATAGGGTAAAATTAAAGGCCTTTTCTTTTGCAATATCTTTGCTCTCTTTCATTTTTTCTGTAAATCTCTTTATTTCGTAGATATTACATTTTTTTAGTTTGACTTGCGTGTAAGGACCAGCTTCTTTGAGTCCTTAAACCCAAAAATCTCGTAAAAATATGAAGAGTTCAAGACTGTTCAACTATAGAGTTTAATTTGTAGCTCATGTAATTTCTTACAAATTGATAGTTTTTATTTTTATGATTTTAGTCATAGATTTTGTTGTTAATTTTTTTCCGAAAAAATGAGGTGACCATTTTATTTTATCATAACTTTGCGATTTTTGAGCTACAAACTTGAAAAGACCTCTTAAAAAAGCATAGGTCTTTTCAAACACTTTAAAAACAGTCTTCGAAAAATGTGTTCTTTAACCATTATGTTAAGGTTGGGTGGTTAGGTTAGGAGATTTGCGATAAAACGCAAGGTTTTTATAGTTATTTATAAAAAATGGCAGAAAAATAAACAGTTTTTAGATGAAAAATCAACATTTTCAATCCGAAATAACTTCTTCTTAACTAACTAAATTTTCTGAAAAAATGTTATAGAACATTTTTTGCTTAGAATTCATCCCTTTATTGATTTTTGCAATTAAAATGGGTAGTTCACCCCCGAGAAAGGGTGGCACTCACGGGTGTCAAGAATTCGGAGGTAATACCCTATATTTTTATCCTTGCTTACTGGCCTATCCGTGGACATAGAACGTGGCCACATTTAGTAAATTTTATGCTCTACAAGAATCCGCAATGTATTTTTTTCGTAAACCGTTTCAAAGTTATGGTACAGTACGTCTGTCCGTTCTGTAGCTACGGGGTATCCGTGAGAGGGGAAACGATATTCTCTCGATGTTTTTCGTAAAAAAATAGACGACGCGTCCCATCAATAAAAATTCAACAAATTTGCAAGTAGCTAATAAAATGAGTGGGCGGAGCGATTTGCGGTGACGCACTAGTCAAATCGACGTATAAAATATATTGCTGTTTATTTAAATGTTTTTTGTCCGCATTCCTTTCATAGACACAGATCCAGCAGATGTACAGTACGTCTGCTGGATCCGCAAATCGCTCCGCCCACTCATTTTATTGGCTACTTGCAAATTTGTCGAATTTTTATTGATGGGACGCGTCGTCTATTTTTTTACGAAAAACATCGAGAGAATATCGTTTCCCCCCTCTCACGGATACCCCGTAGCTACAGAACGGACAGATGTACTGTACTGTACTTTTGGTTAAAAGATTTTCGGTAATTATTCGGAAAACTGGAAATCGTCAGATTTTCACCAAAATTAGTATACACCCTATTTCGAGGTCGTAGATTACGAATCTGAACTTTTTTTGGTGGTCTTTTACCGTTTTTCAGAAAAACGGAAAATTATTTCAACATCGAATTTTTCTTAATTTCTCATATTTTTAAGGTTTTCTATCACATATTTTGTCAGGTATTCAATAAACAATGATGTTATTGCTATTTTCTGTTACTTTTTTAACCAATTCTATGCATAATAGAGAAAAATTTGCTAAAATAAATTTGTAAACAATCTGAAAATGTTGGGTTATGTGTTTCTGCCATTTAAAGCAACGTTGCCAATGCTAAACCTAAATTTAGCTTTTTTTTTCGCTCATTCTGGGATTACGAAAAGCGGTCGCCAGAAGAATGGCTCCTTCCCATAATTGCTATTTTACCGACAAGATCTGGCTATTTATAACCACGAAGTTGCACGAAAGAGTTTTGATTGCATTGGTTACTACAAGTTCCATGCGGAGGGTGTTAATCTTTTGTTGTTATATTATATAAAAAAAGATTAACCCCCTCCACAAAGAAGTTAAAACCAATGCAATGCAATCAGAACTCTTTCGTGCTACTTCGTGGTTATAAATAGTCTTTATATAGCTTCTTTGCGGAGGGGGTTAATCTTTTTTTTATATAATATAACAACAAAAGATTAACACACTACGCATGGAAGTTGTAACAAATGCAATCAAAACTCTTTCGTGCAACTTCGTGGTTATAAATATAATATAACAAAAAAAAATATTAACCCCCTCCGCATAGAAGTTGAAACCAATGCAATCAAAACTCTTCCGCGTAACTTTGTGGATATAGGTAGTAGCTAGGTATATTTAATTATTGTCGATTTCATAATAGGTAATTTATTTAAAATCCCTAATCACCCGAAAAAATAGAAGATATGGCAACGTTGTAAATTTTCAAATTTCTGGTTTCTAGATTAAGTCTAGAATATATTTGTCTCTCTCATTACATAGGAGAGAGAAATAAGGATATACCAAATGTCAAACTTCCATCTGGTCTCAATTTTCTTTGTTATTTTGTTAAGAAAAGTGTTTTTCAGTAAAATTTTAGACATTTTTTTATCCCCAATCAAGTGTGGCTTTTAGATAAACTATAATATAATGAGAATATAGTGAAATTATTACTTTATAGGGCCGAAATAAAGAAAAATTCAATGTTGAAATAATTTTCCGTTTTTCTGAAAAACGGTAAGAGACCGCCAAGAAAAAAGTTCAGATTCGTAATCTACGACCTCAAAATAGTATGTGTACCAATTTTGGTGAAAATCGGACGATTTCCAGTTTTCCCAATAATTACCAGATTTTTTTACGTGTTATTTAAATGAAAAGCTTTGAATGTTCACGGACACCTTTTTAAATTGAGCTAAAAATACTGCCTTCCGGGGATATTTTTTTCTCGGTTATTAGTTATTAGGTTCATTTTAACCCATAAATTCCATAGGTTAGTTTTTTTTGGCTCACCCTAATATATAGTTTAGTAATTAGGCAAAATTGGCTTACCAAACTTCCTTCGTGTGTATCATACATAACGCACTTCTTCAATTCCATTTCCATATTGGCCAGGCTAACGCTCAGTTTACTTTCTAGGTCTTCCCTGAGTTTCAGTTTGTCTCCCCTATCGTGCAACAAACAACAACTTTCCTCGTACAATTGCTTGACGCTATCCACCAGTTTCGTAAATTCGGCTCTCAGTGCGGGTCCCGTCAATAATTTGCCAGATGGGTGTATTTTCTCTAGGCATGTGTCAGTCTTCGTTGCTAATGAGTATAAATCGGTCTGGAATAAAATATTTAATATTAAATACCTAGTACAGGGTCCGGCAATAGTGCGTCGGGCATCTGCAGTTCCTAGAATAAAAGAAATTGAGAATTTTGTTTTAGTGCAAACCTAAAGTATGTACCAGGATGTATTTCAGGAAAATATGTTAACTTCTATAGGATGGCTCAAAAAAGTGTGAGTGGACCTGGATGATTTTTTTTAAATAGAATACCCTGTATATTATTGCATTGTTGGTTTCCTTTCAGATCACTTTACATAACCCTAAGATATGAATATATATATATATATATATATATTTCGATAGTTTCAGCAATATTAAAAAATAAATCAAAAATATATATTTTTCAGCCCTTCTTAAAAAAATTATTAAAAATACAGAAACTGTTCTGAAATCAAAAGTATATTAGGTATTTACTTTAGATGGTCTTTTCTTACTTTGCTATAAATATGGTAATCGTAAATCATACAGGATGTTCAATATTCTACGCCAAACTTTCTAAAATATAAAATATTTTTTCGTTGTTTTTTTATTATTACAGTTGAGGATTGGAACCTTTGGTGTTACACAGCAAAATAAAAACACTAAATCACCACAATACACCAAAACACTTTTACTTTTACACTGGACGCGCGTTTCGCTAACCATGTTAGCATCATCAGCAGATGATTGTAAACTTTAATAGCGAAACGCGCGTCCAGTGTAAAAGTAAAAGTATTTTGGTGTATTGTGGTGATTTAATGTTTTTTATTTTGTTATTTTTTTAAACGAAACACCCTGTATATTGTTTTTTTAATAGATGGAGAGTTAAAAAATGAACATTTTTTGTATTTAGAGTATTTCAAAATTTTTAACGGTTTTGCAGATACACGCAATATTATTTATTTCATATGGCGCTTTCAATGCTAAAATACGAGAGAAAAATCATTGGGTGGCTTTGATAAAAATTTAAGGCGGGCGGCCACTGCGAGCGAAACTAAACTAAGCGAAGATAATATTTGTAAAAATCAGCTTACATACTTTTTAATGCGTGAGCGGCTACTTGACCGAAACAAACGAAAATATATGAACGAAGATTCGAATCGTAGTTTAGTTTCGCTCGTTTTAGTTCGTGACAGGTTTCAGCGAATTTTTTGCAGCGATTAGTTCTATGATAGCAGAGATACAATACGAAAACTTAGCTGACTAGTGAGCGAAAATCGTTCTCAGTGGAGTTCCCATTTAATTACCGTTTCTTTTCATATTCTTAGCTTAGTTTAATTACGCTCGCAGTGGCCGCTCGCCTTTACTGTGGAAAATGCCATATGAAATATAAAACCGCAAATATCTGCGAAACCGTTAAAAATTTTGAAATACTCTAAATACAAAAAATGTTCATTTTTTAATTCTCCGTTTATTGAAAAAACAATATACAGGGTGTTCCATTTAAAAAAACGAAGAAAAATTTATTTTATATTTTAGAAAGTTTGGCGTAGAATTTTGAACATCTTGTATGATTTACGATTTTCATATTTATAGCAAAGTAAGTACAGACCATCTAAAGTAAATACCTAAAATAGTTTTGATTTCAGAACAGTTCTTGTATTTTTAATAATTTTTTTAAGAAGGGCTGAAAATATTAATTTTTTATTTATTTTTTAATATCTGTGGAACTATCGAAATATATTCATTAATATCTTAGGGTTATGTAAAATCTGTGATCTGAAAGAAAGCCAAAAATGCAATATTATACAGGGTGTTCCATTTAAAAAAAAATCATCCAGGCCCACTCACACTTTTTTGAGCCACCCTATAGAAGTTAAAATATTTTCCTGAAATATATCCTGGTACATACTTTAGGTTTGCACTAAAACAAAATTCTCAAATTTTTTTTATTCTAGGAACTGCAGATGCCCGACGCACTATTGCCGGACACAGTATATCAATATACTGGATGTTTTTCAAGTGGCTCACCCCCTATAACTTTTTTATTTTTTCAGATAAAAAATCGAGATTTGGTATGTTAGTAGGTATATGACATAAATTAGGATTAATTGACGTATTCAATTGTTTTCGGTCACTTCCTGTTTCACCGGAAGTGACTACAACTTTTGGTTTTCAAATGACACCCTCGGTATTTTGTTACTTTATTCGATAGGAAATAACACTCTGAATAGAATGACATATCATATGTCAACTTTTGTAATATTCGAATATGGTTTATTAGAAATTGCAACATGCGATTCGTAACGACAATTTGACTCGAAATACAAAGTATAGTCTGTCCAACGACAAGATCGTTGACAGTGATAGATGTGTCTGTCATTTTAATTTCAAAGTAGTTTATTTTATTTTACAACGAAATAAGTTGGTACAACTAGAACGCATAGCAGGAAATTAATATATTAAAAATTTGAATGACAAGAGTATACTTCAAAATATTGTATGTGTTAATACGAAACAAACAAGAACAAAACACCACATACCAAAAAATATGAAAAAGAATTAGTCCTTACTTTCAAGCTTCAAAACTTCCCGCATTTATATTATATTTATCAACATAACTTATGTACAAATACAAATTTGTAATATTCCACAGGAGTAAATAAGACAACATAAATAAATAAAGTATTTTTCTAACACTGACCAAATTTTATACCTTAAAAGTTGATTAATTAACTTTACTCTTAATTTTTTTAAACCAGTAACCAGTTACATTATTTTTCTGCAGTACCTACTAAAATCCATTATTTACCTATCGTGTGATATTTTACAGCTACTTCAGTTTTTAGTGTATGTTTAGTACGATCCTTTCTACCATATACGAGTTGCACTTATCTACGACGAGATGGTATACAAACTTATTGAGGGTAACTTTATTGGTGTAATAAGACTTTCTGCCTGGGCAGCTAGTATTAACTATAAACTGTGCTCTGGGTCTACAGTTAAATTTTCACCCGATTTTTCCTCCACTTAACTTCAAAAGACACAAAACACACGTAATAACATGAATCAAAATACATCATCTTCCAAAACGCAGGGTATTTGACATAAGTTGACACAAAATTATAACCTATAATTTAGCAAGACTTTGACAAGTCTCAAAAATCTAAATGTGAGTTCATACCTTTGAATAAGAAGACTAAGGAAGGAGCATAATGCTATCCATGTATTCATGCATGGTGGGCGGAAAAGGCACCATAAAAGCTCTCTAGGGTGGGGATCCTTGACAGTTCTGTTTGACGATTCATTTGACACATTTGAATTTGATTTGAAATTTTGTGGATTTGCCAGTCTTTATGGAGCTTATTTTATGTTATTTATTATTTATTCTACTACTGATAGTTGTATAAAGGTAGTAAATCTAGATGGAAATTGTGGCAGAACTTAAATTAACAGTGACACTATCGCGATTTATCGAAAAAAACTCTAAAATAGTTGGTTGTGTAGCGTGCGGTAGATCTCGGCAAAAATTGAGTGAAATAATGGAACAACTTTTCGCTAGTAAGTGACTATATAATATACATACGTGTAGTAAACCGATCATTTATGAAATTCACTTAAATTAACTAAACTATATTTTTTTCTTGCATTTTAGCATTTATTTATTACTTGTCAGATTAGATGTCAAAGAATTTAGATACGTTAATTTGACTTACCTGCTTCAGTAGCGTATCGGATGTTTGTGTTAATAAATACTTATTATAACTTATCTATTTTTATTAGAATTATATATTTTTATAACAATTTTAATAACTACCAACATTTATTCACAACGTAAAATAAAACAACAAATTATTGAGTCTACCCCACGTCTACCCTACATCATAGTTTTACATTTTTTAAATAAAATTAGAACGACACTGATAAACCGGAATTTAAATCGGCCACATTTGAGGCCCATCGCGGTGTACCTAAGATTTGTGATATGCTCCTTCCTTAGTCTTCTTATTCAAAGGTTCATACGCATCGGCGTCCGTTTGTCGTTCATCGTTCCGTCAAACCAATAAAATCGAAATATTTCATTTCAATTTGTCATTTTTGAAATAAACCAATAAAACTGGTTAAAAACAACAAGAGACGACGCACGACGGATTTATATTTAAACTCATCCATAGTTAACTTAAAAATTATTAGAAACATTTTTTAGTAAAATAAATAGATTGGTATGGGACGTCATCTGCTTTCCTTCTGTCATCGTCTGTCGAAATCTTACCCGAGAAAAAAACAGAGTATATTATGTGGTACCAAATTATTCATAAAAAAATCCTTTTTCCAAATATGCTAATGAGCCACCCTCGTTCCATTTGAAAAAATTGAGATATGATTAAAAATACGATTTGTGTATCTTTTAACCGGCCAGGACAAGACACTAAAAACATTAGACGATCAAATCTATTTTTTAAAGACTCCTTTATTAAAAATTAGTGTTTTTAAAACAGCCATAGCACTCTAGATTAAAATTTAAAATATAATTTTGTTACAGTTGGGGGTTGGACCCTTTGGTGTTACACAGCATAATAAAACCCTAAATTACCACAATTCACCAAAACACTTTTACTTTTACACTGGACGGGCGTTTCTCTAACCATGTTAGCATCATCAGCAGATGATTAGAACTAAGTTTAAAAGTCAGTTTTAATCATCTGCTGATGATGCTAACACGGTTAGCGAAACGCGCGTCCAGTTTAAAAGTAAAAGTGTTTTGGTGTATTGTGGTGATTTAGTGTTTTATTTTGCTATAATTTTGTTTTAAGCGAAAATGTCAAAAGTTGACATATGATATGTCATTCTATTCAGAGTGTAATTTTCTATCGAATAAAATGAAGTGAATAAATACAGAGGGTGCCATTTAATAGTCAAAAATTGTCATCATTTCCGTTGAAACAGGAAGTGACCGAAAATAATTGAATACGTCAATCAATCCTAATTTATGTCATATACTAACATACCAAATCTCGATTTTTTATCTGAAAAAAATAAAAAAAGTTATAGGGGGTTTTGAGACGCACCCTGTATACTGGGTGTTTTTAGGTGGATGTAGTGACATACTGTAGGTAAATATTCTTGTGTTTCAAGTGAGTTACCTCCAAAGTATGGCTTATTGCTAAAATTTTTATCCACTTAGTTAGTGAGGTGGTACATTCGATGAAATTGAGAAGTAAATAATGTTCCTCTTCTGAGAAAATTATTTCTATTTCTTGTCTATCGAGCGGTCGATCCACGAAAGTAACAGTATGCTTCTCTTTTTCCATGTGATGGGGTACCTATAGAAGAGAGAAAAAAAGACTAAAATTGTAATCGTTATTTTGTAAGTGCCGAAGATGCACACAACTGAACATGAAAATATTAAACATTTTAATCTATCTTGCAGAAGTAATTAGTGATGGGAAAAACCGATTAATTTCAATAATCGAGTACTCGAGTTTCAAGCGATTGCAATAACCGAGTGATCGCTCGAGCGAATTATCACTTGTATTTAAAAATACGGTTTCATCACCCGTCGCTTGTTGTAAGTACTCGTTAACTCCAAGCGCCAAGCAGTAAGTTGCGTGCGCAGTGATGAGTGGCAAGTAGCAAGCGGCGAGCGATTTAGACCATGGGCCACAAATATAAGCCCCTCCCCTCCCCGTGGGAATATGTATGTGGGATTTTTTTTTGTTTGTTTTGCCATATAATTTAAGATTTTAGTTGTTTGCCTCATATCAATTACAGCATAGTCCGAAAAACCGTAGAAAAACGGTAAAAGTTTTCACTTAGTTTTTGATGGTGTGTTTATTGGGGAAATAGCTAAAAAAGTAAATCATCAGGTTCCAAATTCTTAATTTTATTTATTTATAACATGAAAAAAATACAGAATTTTAAATTATGGATGCATGCATATCAAATTAAGCAAATCAGAAAATTCCAAAGTTCCATCTGTAAGCTTTCTTTTTCGTCTTCATCATCATGAGGTCTGGTTCATCTCCATCTTCAAACTCATCTGGATGATAGCTTTCCAAAACATCAGTTAGTTCGGGCAGCAACGGATCCCCTTTGATCCAATCAATCTTCAGTTGTCCATTTTCCGATTTCCATGTCTGGACTTAGTATTATGGGCTTAGCGACGTGGGCATTATTCCATTTGTAGCACTGGTAGCTTATACGACGGATGTGGTTTTCAAGAGAAGCTTTGCAAGGCTGTAGTAAACTTAATTCAACACCTTGTGGATCTGTGGAAGCAGATGTCACTGTGGGAGAATATTTTTGTGTGAACAAATCGTACCGTATAGTTTATTTATATCTGTGTATCCTTTATCAGTGTAGGTAAAGTAAGTAAGTAACACACGAATTCCTCTAGGTCTGACATTAGATTTTCTGTAAGTGTAAGTGTTCTCCTAATGATATAATGATAGGCACGAATTTTTTTTTTCTAATTTAGATTTTACCGACAACTTTCCACGCCGAACAAAAGAACTGATGGTGTTACATCCCGATAATGCATGCATATTCAACATAGCATGACTCTTTGCTGCGCCTAAATCCCCAGACATAGTGGTGACATTAATGACCCTTCGTTTGTTTCCAACCCTTGTATCAAACAGTAAAACATTTTCAATTTCGTTAAAATTAGTTAAAGAAAAAGATTCATCGAATGTCTCAAAGAGACCTGATATAGCCAAAAAAAATCAGTAAAACTCCAAAAAAATTGAGACCGTGACTTGGAGTTTTACTGATTTTTTTTGTCTTGTTTAAAAAATTAGTTTATTAAAAAAGTTTAAAGGTTAAAAACATTTTTTTTTCATTTTTTTCTCCGTTTTCTACGTTTTTCCGGGCTATGCTGTAATTGGCATTAGGCAAGCAAAAAATATTTAGCTCACAAATTCCCACGGTGGGGGGATGGGGGATACGAGCCTTCGCTCTAATTCGCTTGATTTAGTTTATTTCAAAGCATTGTCGATGTAGCTCGTAAAATTTTATTCCTCAGATACGCAACGGATAAATATATACGGGGTGGTCCGAATTGTATTCTGGAAACTTCGGCAGCATATTCTGCAGATAAAAATAAGTCAAAAAGTTCCTATAAATGTAAGTACTAAAATGCTTAGTTTCGGAGATACAGGGTATAGAAGTTTCATTTTTATTTCGATTTTTTTCAAATAATTTATGAAGTAACGTCAATATTTGGATGAAAATTTGTGTCTGAGAGTTTTTTGACATGAGAAATTTGATTTTGATGTCAATATGACTCCTACTAGTAGAGGGCGCCACCTACATATTTTTTAACTGGTTTGAAGAGTAATAACTTTTCGTCCGTACCTGTATTAAACTACTGAGTAATAAAATATACATTTACTACGTTTTCTACGTGAAAAAGGTCTCTTGGTAAAAATCGCTACGAGTAATGGTTTTCGAGATATTTGGAATCGAAATTATCAATACCTGTCATCATTGACATAAATTAAACATGTTGACTAAATAGTTATTAGACTGAAATCATAAATTTGAAATGTTTTCAAAAGGTCAACGGAAAGTGTTTTATTGTCATTTTTTGCAGAAACATTTATGATTAATTTAAAAAAATAAAAATTTCCCAAATTTATTATTTCAGTGAAATAACTATCTACTTAACGTGTTTATTTTTCGTCAATAATGACATGTATTGACTTTTTCCATTCTAAATATCTTGTGAACGGTTGCTCGTAGCGATTTTTACAAAGAGATGTTTTTTACGTAAAAAGTCACAGAGATGTATATTTTTTCACTCGGTAGTTTTATACAGGTACGGACAAAAAGTTATTACGCATCAAAACAGTCAAAACATATGTAGGTGGCGCTCTCTACTAGTAGGAGTTAAAGTCCCTAGATATATAAAGTACCGCAATTGGTTTGTTCAATGTTATTGGCGCCAAAATGGCGGATTTTTGGGGTATTTCTGGAAAAACTGTAGTGGTAGGACTGTTTAAATGTCACATTTGTCTGAATTTGTCATGTCAAATGTTGAGAAGCTGTCAATTTCAGGATAAAAATATTTATCCACATATTTTAAAATAATTATAAAGCCACTAAAATGCTACAAATTTTTAGTTAATAATGTATAGGCGTCGATAACTTTAGTGAAGAAATGTGTATTACACGAAAAGGCCGCCATTTGATGTGTTTTCTAACATCGTCGATATTCAATACACGTTAGGTAGTGGATTGAATTTATTTATGCTCCAGTGAATATTTTTAACAATCCTATTTGTAGTATAACCTATTGGTACATAAAACTTCATTATAGAACAAGACAAGACCACAATAGATCTGAGAAGGTCGCAGTGGGTCAGGCCGAGATCAACCTCTAGAAATCTAATCTAGAACAAAACAAAGACCTTACTTGCAAACTACCATACATATCTTTTAAAAAGGATGCTAAGTGTAAATGAAATCTCTACGTAATCATTCCCTAAAATGTTTAGTGTAGTTTAGTTTTCAACATTTTGCAGCAAGAAGTTTAGATAAATCTACAATATATTATCATCAGACCAAACGAAGAATAATTATTTAAAAGAATAAGTTATGTTATGATACATACCGACCTGGTCATTTGATTACTGTGTATAGGATTTTAACGTATAAGACAGAGAATAATATAAATGACCGGTTGACAGACAGAGAGACAGCATCAAAAGGGGCAGGCGAGAAGCCGGTGCGACCGATACAGTGTTGCCGGTTTTTACGGGTGTGGGCAAGGTAAAGCATAAGCATGGTGGGAGAACGCATTGAGAGGGGCGGTGCTTTATGTTAAGGTTCGTATTCACTATCCGAAAGAACAAAGGAATGAAATTCGGTATATTTGGACAGCAAACCGAATGCATGCGGCCGTTCGCCATTCGGTTCGCTCCATCGTCCGTTTCCAGTCAGTATATCAGAGACGTTCGCAAACGAATGAAAATTATAGAACCGCGCGAACAAGACTGGACGTTCGCTCGTTGGATAGTAACATTCGTTCGTTCGGATAGTGAATACGCACCTTTATGTAGATGAAAGGGTGAGGAAAGGAAATAGATCACCTGAGATCCAAACTATTTTTGCATCATTCTTTTCGCCTAGCTGTTTCGGTATGTACGTTAAGTGTTTCAAAAATGGCTATTTATACGACCGAAGAGAAGGTGCATATCGTTAAATGGTTTTACATTTCGTCTAGTGTGGAAGAGGTCATTGGGCGTTTTGTGTTCACCTTTCAAGATCGCCCCGTGCCTTGTGCCACAACTGTACGCAACATTGTCCATAAATTTGAGCAAACAGGCTGCATTGCGGCGTGCAGAAATTGTGACAATAAGGAAGGCGCAGAAGGTGATTCCCGACAAGGAAATTAATATTTGTGCCGCGGTCGAAACAAGCGAACCTTGTTCAAGCCGAAATATAGCCAGAACAAGTTGGTTGCAATGCTCGAACGGTTCGCAGGGTTTTAAAAAAGCATGGATATAAGTCCTACAAAATCAGTACCACGCAAGAAATTTTTCCCGCAGATTGTAACAGACGTCTGGAGTTTTGCGAGGCTGTAAGAGAAAGAGCCGATCGGAATAATTTATTTTTGGAAAATATATTATTTTCAGATGAAAGCCCTTACATGGCTACCACAATCCTTCGATAGTACGTTATTGGTCTCGAGAAAATAAGCACCTTAGTATGGCACTGCGGACACAATATCCACAAAAAATAAATGTTTGGGCTGGCATGCTGCAAAATCATATCATTGGGCCTTTCTTTATTGATGGTATGTTAACAGCTGCCAAATATTTGGATATGCTATAAAACCAAATTGTACCAGCAGTTCGAAATTTGCCAGTCAATTTTGAGGAAGTGTGGTTTCAGCAGGATGGCTGTCCTGCGCATAACGCGCGGAACGTAAATCTGTTCCTTCAAACCACATTTCCCAATCGGCTAATTTCCACACAAGGCACATTAATTGGCCACCACGTTCTCCCTGATTTGTCGCCCAATGACTTCTTTCTGTGGGGATATGTAAAAAACTCCATTTATGGCCATAACCATGAACGACCCATGAATATTGACGAGCTGCGATTAAAAAAATCGTTCAGTCGTTAGAAAATATCCCCCGCTGTTATGTTAGCTAAAGTTAGGTCAGAGTTTTATAACCGTCTTGGCTATTGCGAAGCACAACAGGGAGGTATTTTTGAACCTTTGATTTAATTTTTTATAATTATTTTGCTAAATGTCCTTTTTTAAAGTTGATTTTTAGTCATTTTTTTAATGCTTGTTTTAACTTATGCTGAAACAGCAAGCAAAAACATGGAAGCAGTATAGATACAACCGGACGTTTAATTATTTTTATTGTTAAAAGATTAAACGTCTCGAGATGTATGGATAACCTTCAAAATCGTAAATATATTGTAGAATGATGTACACCAACCCTTTCAAAATCCGACTGATTTGATAAATGTGTCAAAGTATGTCTACCGTTCTAGGACTTCGATACTATCAGTGTTGCCAGATGAAGTTTTGAAAATTTCCTGAAGCCTGGTTGGCACGGTCAATCAACCAACAAAAAATATTCTTTTAAAATATTTATCTGATGATACTTTTAGAAATGCCAAGTTTGAGAAAACAAATTAAATACACACACTAAAGTGTGTCCAAAAATATGCTTTCTAAAAAGGTATTTCCTGTAGAAACCTTAATGTTAGGGAATATTACCTAGACCTGGCATCTACGGCCATATTCTCTCCCACCACTTGATTTGTCTTAGCTGATTGGTCTCACCCCGCCTCTCGAAATGTGGAAGCCATGCATATCTCTTCGCACGTGTCGCCACCAAACCAAACCAAACTCTTGAGTCATAGGCGTACTAATATTTTATTTTCATTTAGATTTAGTATTACAGCCAATTTTAGTTTAAAAGTTTGCTTATGAATTCTGTAAAATTTAATTTATTAGAATTTTAATAATAATCTTTTTATGACAGCTGACAATGTTTAAGATGCAAACAGTGGAACAACGCCTTCACCACGCTGCTTCTTAAGCCCCATACATACTCAATATAAAAAAAACTCATTGACATGATCAAAAAGTTTTATGATCAAGCGGGTTTTGTATCATAAATAAAAACAGATAAACAATTTTTATGTAAAACGACCTTTAAAATTAACATTATAAACATTATGTAACTGTTAAGTGGCATCGTTTTTTATGATTCTAATTGTGCTACACTTTAAAGGGTGTGAAATAAATTACTTATTTATAATAATACTGAATTTATGCGGGGTGGTATAACTAGTGTTATAACGGTTGTAGCTATAGTATTACGGGCAACCAACGGTCCAGCTACGTCGAAACACCGGTTCCCATTAGAACACCGAAGTTAAGCGACGTAAGGCGATACTAGTGGATAGACGGGTGACCAGTTCGAAACTTTGTATCGTGCTGTTGTCCAATAAAGGCAAAAGTGTAAAATATATTGACACACACTGCTCATTCACGCCGGTTCGAGGCCGGAAAAAGGAGACGTTAACTTCAAATCTTTTACTTTACTTTATAGTATTACATTATAGCATTATCATGTCATAATATTATGAAATAATATTTCCTACTACCAATTTTTTTAATATTGGTACAGCAAACTTATCAGTATAAAGTTTTACTTATCTTTATCCTTTTTATTGCTATTTATAATTCTGAATACGAGGATAAGAAATTTTAGTTTTCAGTACGCCTATGACCGAAAGCGAACGTCTACCTCCCGCTTCATCTGCGGGCATAATTGGATGGAATCAGGGATGAGTAAATATAAAGGACCATAAAATTAATAAATTTTGCTCGTCTGCTGCAACACGTAAGAAATATTTATTGATGGATCAGTATGACAGAGAAGTAATAAAAAGGCCGTTTTTTGTGAATAACAAAATGGTATTTGAACATCATATTATAATCATATTGAATTGCCAATAGATTAATTTATCAGCTATCCGCAAGAAAATTGACAATAATAATAAAAACATGACACATGGCAATTAATATAATTCCAAATTAAAAATCGATAAGAGGTTTCATTCATAATAGTAATATAGATATATTTCAAAGAACTTTACTTAAAATTAAGTTTTTTAATTTTGTACTAGTTTATAGCACTTGGTGGTATAACAACAAAATAATATCAATCATTAAATAAAGGATAAACGAACCAATAAATAAACAAAAAGGTTAATTTATTTAATAAAACGTACAACGTAGGGCTTTGTATGCCGATTGTCGTGTGTATGAAGAATAAAGTCAACGTTTGTTCAGTACAATACGATATACTGAAAGAAAAAGACTATAAAATACTGGGGAGAAAAATAGAAGTTTATTACCTATCCACTTAATCCGGATCGGTCGACAGAATTTGTGATATTTACAACATTATATGTTATTAATTGATTATCGGTCCTATTATGTAACTGAGGATGTACGTAACTAAGTAATAGAGCATATTTTTTGTTAGTTTATTTAATGAAGCGTACACACGGCTTTGGTTGCTGATTCTCGTGTGTCAACGTGTTCAGTACAATACGATATATTGAGAGAGATGCTGATGCTCTATTACGTAGACACGTACATCCTTAGTTGCATAATAAGACAGATAATCTATTAATTCCAAAACGTACTAAAAGCGCAAATTCTGTTGTTGAACAATGTAATCAGTATGATTACAGATTAAATAATTATGGAGGTGCATATGAAACATTAAACGATTCATCATTGTGTTAAGTTATACCACGTAATTTAACAAAAAGATCAATCATTTAATGTCTCACTTCACACTGGCTCACTCTATTATTATTTAATACTGATTAGAATGGTCGACAATAGAATTTGCACTATTTACTACGTAATACAGCATATTTTTTGGTTAGTTTATTTAATGATATAACCGATAATGTACACACGGCTTTGGGTGCCGATTGTCGTGCACAGAGTCTATAGACTCTGTGATTGTATAAATGAACAAAGAGAAAAGAGCAAGAATTTTCCCAAGCGTATGAAGTTGAGCTCCGGATTAAGTGGATAGGTAATCATTTTCTCTCCCCGACTTACAAGATTGCCATAGCGATTCACTTCTAGACATGTAGGTAAATGATGACTAAAATAAACGACCCAAGATTTTCTATTGCCGACCAGTATATTATTGTAGTCTTAAAGAAATTAGAATAAAACAAACTATGTTAAATTTATGATTATGATTAAGTGGATAGGTAATAATTTTCTCTCCCCGACTTACAAGATTGCCATGGCGATTTACTTCTAGACATGTAGGTAAATGATGACTAAAATAAACGACCCAAGATTTTCTCTTGCCGACCAGTATATTATCGTAGTCTTAAAGAAATTAGAATAAAATAAACTATGTTAAAAATGTTCATGTATACTACTGAAATGAAGATAATATATTTAAGCTAAATGTAATCTATTACAGTTGTAGTAAAATGAGTAACTAATTGTTGAAAATCCAGATCCAACCCTAGATGCCACATTTTTTTGAACGTCTACTTATGCGGTTTCAAATTTTGATGCAAAATCTGGCAATACCGCTCAGAAGAAATGTTCCCACCCATACCCACCCAACTTTTTTCTCTTTTTAATACATTTGATTTGCCATTAAGCTGCCTACATCACTGTCTTACACGTTAAAGTCCTATACACAGAGTTGACCTGTCCCGATGTGTATATAGATTTGGATGACATCGCTTCAGGTGGTTTTACCAGTCAGGACTAACAGGGATATTAATCAAAACAATGAAAAAAAGCTCAAATAAATTTGATCCTAATAACAAGAATGTTGTTTATGCATATGCTAACTATATAGTTTTTTTCATGGACTTAAATAGATTAGTTTTTTATGTATTTATTGATAGTAATTAATATTTTTGGTTCATATTGTAATTACTAATAGAAAGTAAACAATATAATGTAAGCATGTAAAGTTATATTTAAAATTTGGTCTTATACTGTCAGTTATAAATAAAAGTGTGTGATTTAAATTTGATTTTTATACATGACATAAAATTGTTAAGATTCATTTGAAGTTTTACATATTGTCGAGGTAAAATTATTCCTACTTAATTTATGTATAACAATAATTACAGTTATTTCAATGTTAAATTTATAGCAGTATAACTTTTTTATTATAATGATACTTAAACATTATGACACTTGTTTTAAAAATATAACATTAAATTGCAGAGTAAAATATATTTTAATTGTATTATGTGGTATTAACTTGCTTTTATTCAACTAATAATAAATTTGTTGTATAAAAATCACTCCATAACATACAAACCTTAATTATACAGCATACATAAAGAGCTCCTATGCGTTTTCAAGCTTCTTTCTAAGTTATTTTTAAATTAAGTGCACAATTACATACCTAAAATGCCGAAACTACCTGAAGTAATACTAATTGAAACAATCTTTCTATCAATATATTAATATATTTCAAAAATAGCAGGTATGTATCATATCAATTTAATTATTACATTAATTTATTTGTTTCAACCATGGTTCAAAATTTTCTCGTATAAAAGCCGGCCGTCAAATATAAGTTTGTAGCTTATTCATAGTTCCGGGCTTTTGTTAAATCATGCTTATTTGTCAAAACTAACTACAGCATAACTGGTATAATAGGGAAAGTTTACTTATGGTATAGGTAACCCGTTCTCATCAACAAACAAAGTTTTTCCAATTGTTTCGACTGAATTAAGTACTAAAATTCTAAATGTTATTCCACCTTTATTTCTTCTTACCTATTAACTTACTTCTGTTGGCGTACTTTGCGCTAAAAGGTAACATAAAATAAATGCTAATACAAATGAAAAACACTTGTACGGAAACCATTCGTTTATAACCTCTTAACATATATAAGCCTAAAAAATTAAATTTATGAAATTGAATATTAATATACCACCTGATATTACGTTAAAATGAAGGTAAACTGTAGATAATAAACGTAATTCTATTACAATTAATAAATATTTTATTTTACGGCTTGCCTGTCAATGTTGGTCGGCCATATTGGCGCCGGACCGACCAGCTGCTTAAAAAGCCGAAACAGCGAAATGTTGGCCTCCTTTTTAAATTTGCCGCTAGTTTTGGCGCCAATATGGCGGTAATTGCGGTACTTTATATATCTAGGGACTTTAGTAGGAGTCATATTGACATCAAAATCAAATTTCTCATGTCAAAAAACTCCCAGACACCAATTTTCATCCAAATATTGATGTTACTTCAGAAATTATTTAGAAAATATCGAAATAAAAATGAAACTTCTACACCCTGTATCTCTGAAACTAAGCATTTGAGGACATACATTTATACGAACTTTTTTACTAATTTTTATCTGCAGAATATGCTTCCAAAGTTTCCGGAATACAGTTCGGACTACCCTGTGTACTACATACCTGCAATGTATGTAGAAAATTCGCTCGGCTTTTTATCGAGTATGTCACATTAAAACTGGATTTCAATTTATTTGATTCTAGGATCGCTTGCGTTCGTCGCTTGGCACTCGTCACTTGCATCGCTCGTTCATAATCGAGCGATGTCGGTTATTTCAATAATCGAGTACTCGAGCGAATTTTCGCTCGAGTTATTCCATCACTAGAAGTAATCACATTAAAAACATGGAATGTAAAAAGTTGTGAGATCTCATCTAAAACCAAGTCAGAATATTTTATTCAGTTTCTCTGGAAGCACCTATGCAACAATTATTTTGTTATATTGGAATCGCAAAACATTTTCCGATGCACGTCATCAATCATATCGACATTGACGCTAAAGTCTATAAACCTGACTAAATGAAATTTTGGCGAAAATGTTGAAATTTGTGGTATAATTTAAAATGACGGGCGGCTCTTCGTTTTACTTCATAGAGCAAATGATTGTAACATATATTTTATTTAGATTAAAGCTGCAAAAATTAGTTTAAACCGAATTGTATTATCGCTATTAAGTTTTCAGCAAGGTTGTCCTAGCTGGATAGATAGATACTGAGTTGGTGGTTGCAGAATCAGCTACTGGTTTTAGCCAGTACCCAGGGTCGCGACGGGGACGATTCTGCATGACTCCAATGGGGGTCTAATCCACACACACTAAGAACTACTGCTCTTGCACTTTGCTATTCTGTTGCCGAATATGCCGCACCAGTTTGGGAACGCTCCTGCCATACCAAAAAGATAGACCCGATGCTGAACCAATCGTGCCGTCTAATCACCGGATGCCTAGAACCCACATCGGTTCAACAGCTACACCTCCTCAGTGGGATAGTTCCACCCCACATAAGGAGACAAGTTTCCAGCATGAAAGAGAAACAGCAAGCTCTTTCCGATACCCGGCACCCGCTCTTCTGACAATACGCCGCTGGACCCAGGTTGAAATCTCGAAAAAATTGTCTTTCTGCCGTCCAGCCACTTGATAGCAGCACGGCATCCGCAAAGAGACTAGAGCTGTGGTCAGCAACTTCAACAACTCCAAACGATTTTGCTCTAAGGCCAAAAGAGAGCCTACCACCTGGTGCGGAACAGGCATGGCCGGTGTGGAGGAGTCAGATGCAAGACAAACATGAACCAGTGGGGCTACCTTGACGGATCTGTATCCTGTGAATACGGAGAGGAACAAAATATGAGGCATCTTCTCGTATGCCCAAATTTTCCAAACATATGCAATTAGAGCGATCTGGCGGAGGAAAATACCAACGCTCTGGAGTGTGCCAAGTATTGGATATCCTGTATATAACCGCTGTGTGCATATATATTCTTTGTAGTTTGTCTAATTCTGTACAAGTTTTGTTTCGATTTATGTTGATTGTTTGACTATGTTTTTTTTTAAATGTATAATGTACCTTTTTTTTATTAATTTGGTCGTTTTGTATATTTTATATATGTATTTTTGTATTTCTTGATTTTTTTTTCATATACTGAGTTGGATACGAATAAATAAATAAATAAGCAAGGTTGTCATTTATTATTTGACAATTATCCTAATGTCAGTCATTATTGTGTATAATATCTTGTTGTTGTTGAATCTTTGTGAGTAATTCTCGTTCTATTTTCATAGTCTTTTTTTAAAAAAAAATGTACTTTTAAGCACAAACAGTTCTTTTAAGAACTAAATTTTCGAGTTTTTGTATTGCATTTGTTGAAATTGTGTGTTGAAAATATGTCGAAGGATTTAAACAGTCGAAGCCAAGACCTTGTAGCTTCCCTGATATACTATTTTGAACGAGAACGTGGCAATAAAGGTCCTTTATTCCCTTGACTGCAGTCAGAGAAATAAGTTTGATTGATAAGCACATTACACCACTAGTTTGTGCATTAATAGCACCTTCTTACTTGTTATTACCACTTATGGCGTTGTAAGATATACATCAATAAATAAATAAATAACCCCATAATATCGTTTAGAATAATCTTCATAACGGACTAGTTTTTGCCAATATGTAATAAGTAAAATAAGCTATAAAACAAATAAATCAATTAATTACTAAAATATTAGTTATTAAATTAAAAATAAAACCTAAAAATGCTTAAAAAATGATATAATAAATATATTGTTTGTCACTCCTAAATTAAGATTCATCTCATAAATCCATCACAATCTGGCAGCGCTGTCGCCATCGCTTGTCACACATTTTTATGTAATAATTATAATGACTTGGCAATTGAACGACATGATATTCTACTATAGTAAACGCCACGAATGTTTGGGAGTGATTCATCGCTTGATGAAGTTAGAATCGACACGCGCGCTATCATTTTTACATTAAAAACGTAAATTTTTTACCGCAGACGTAGGTTTTTAAAGGCCCGGTCTAATCATCTGCCTGCGCTCCTCTTTCTTATTCTAAAATGTTAGCGTGATTGACAAAGACGATACTATATCGCGTTTCTTTGATTGATTCGTTTTTGTGCGTCAGTCCATTGGTGTGCTTGCAGTGCGACCAATGGAGCATTCCATTTTATATTTATTACCAAACCAAACCAAATATATGTTTTGACAAGACTTTGACAGTTAAAACACCAAATTACAACAGATTATATATTGATTATTATATCACTTGAAACACCACGGCACTGGAATTAAGTTTTATGTGACCTTGAACAGATTAGTTTACATGGTAGCGACCGATGAATCGCTCCCAAACATTCGTGGCGTTTACTATAATTAAAAAGTTCATTCTTTAGTGCACTGTTTAGATTTACTTAGTGATCAAAATGGTAGATTGTTCTTTTATAATTATGGTGCAGTGCAATTGCCAAGGCATTATAATTATTACAGAAATAAAGATGTCTAATAGATGCTAACAATTTATAACAAAATTGTTAAATAGGTGCTTCCATAGAAACTAAATAAAATAAACTGACTTGGTTTTACACATCTCACAACTATATATTTATAGTGGAAGAATTCTGTTGTGAAACTTAACATTTTTTACATTCTATGTTTTTGATGGGATACAGGTTTGCAGCTTATTATCTTTCATTCCTACATGGAGAAAACTGGTATATGCGCCTAAAATTATATATTGAAAGACATGAAATTTATTTATGTCGCATATAGACGGTTGTAGAACTGAGCCACAATAGGCCGTTGCGGCCATAATGAACCCAGTGGATCTACTCTTAGTACGAATAAAATACTTACAGCACCACTAAACGAATGTTGCCTGATCTTCTCCACTGTAACCCCCAGGAAACTCTTGCTGGTGTCCGAGTGGCCGCCGGGCATGCTCTGCCTGGTGACGCTGGTCCTCGATTTGTCGTGACTGGCACCGCTTACGGACAGTCTAGGTTTCACTCCACCTTGGCCAGCGATACTCTGGCGCTGTTTCTCCTCCCAGCTCTTCAGGGAGTTCTCCAGCGCCCTGTTGCGGCCTAGCATCTGCATGCGGTTCTTGTGCAGGATGCGGATGATGCCGGGCGGTTGGATCCAGGCCTCGCCGTCCACTTGGATAGGTACGCCTTCGTCACCTGGAAGGATTTGTAAAGTATTTAGATCAAATCAAACTTTGGCTGTATTCCGTTGCAAAACCAGGTGAACCAGACCGGTAAACTACGGTAAAGAGCGGTTCCTGAAAAACATCGGTTTGATATGGAACGGTTTGGTAAAATACTGGAAACGTCAAATGTTGACGTTTTCTAAATTTCAATATCTCTATTATAAAATTTATCTTTTATGCACTTTTAATGTACCTATTCTCTGCTTTTACATTTGCTTCTTCTTTTCAATGGAGTATAATATTGAAAAGTACTTTATTAATAAACTGTTAAACTCGTTAGAGAGCTCAAGTGAAGATTTGCATGTTCAGTATTAAAACAGATCAATAATAAATAAACAAATCTAGGGTAAACCAACCAGTGAATGAATGTGGCCCAGTTAATGAACAAAATAACTTTATCTTGCTCTAATAAGGTATACGGCCATTAAACTCTATTTTTGTCCTTTTTTAATCTAATTTGCACTGTGCGTAGTTTACGACTAAGCTTGATTTTCATCATAGATAAAAGAAAATAATCTACATTTTCATGCATCCGTTATACGTTGGTACGTTGGTCCAACGGTGCTCTGATTGGTCATATCGTTTTCGCGCCACTTTTCATCCGTAAATATTTTACTTCAGCCCGTCAAGGGACCCGTTCATACGATAACGGGCGTTTTGACACTTTTTTGACAAATTTAATCTAACAATAATAAAAATATAAGTAAAATAGCAAAATCGTTATGGAAACGAAAATATAAAATAACACCAACGTATATCCGATAAACGCTATGCAATTAATTTAAAAACTGCGTTATTTTCTAACCAATCAAAGTCTTTAAATTCTACCAATAAAATTAATATCGTATCAACGTATCGTCGGACAACGGATGCATGAAAATCAAGTTTAACTTGCTAAAGTACAACCAGTTAATAAACGACACGTGCAAATCGCTGTTCAAAGTTGTGGTCTTACGTTGTTAGTCTTTTAAGCGCCATTTTCTTTAGGGTAAGTAGATACATACATATCCTATTATTAATTATGGTATTTAATTGTTCATAAAATATAAAAGCTTGGCCGTGTGTGAGAATATATATTTCAACAATTCATCGTTATTAATCCAAAAGTAAAACATCTATTATCTTTTAGGTTATATTTTCATTTAATGTGTTTAATAACTGGTGGGAAAACAGTTCAAATTCCAGTGAATGAACGGCTGTTCCTTTACTGGTATTTTATTCGATTATCTGAAATTGCTTTAAAATGACCCTTAAGCTTTGTTTACATATGTAAACCCATTAAAATACCTTAAATGTAATAAAAATAAATGCCAGCCAGTAAATGAACAGGATTTTGAATCGTTTACTTACTGGATATTGTTCCTGTTCATTTACTGATTAGACATAAGACCTTTTTGCAAATGATTTCTGTCTATTATTATTAGGATAAGTGGGCACTAGTTTTTGTTTTGGAGGTTTAATTTTTAGTGTTATAGTTTTATTAAAAGTATTCGGCGGTTACTAAAAATAAATATTTTTTGTTGGTACAGATGTGTACATAAACTTAAGTGATGCCGCTAGGTGAAAGCTTCAACAAAATGGGTAGAATTTCATCAAGAACAAGATAAAATAAAGCGTCAAAAAGAGGAAGACATTAAAAAAAGAAAACTCGATAGAGAAAGAAAGTGAGTGGAACAACAAGAACGAAAAAATAAGATCAGGCGACAGTATGAAATAAAGAGACCTAACAGAGACTTGGGTAAAAACCTGTCACTTTTTGAATTGAAGCTAAAACAAGGATAAGAAAGAAAAACATGCAAAAAACAAGAGAAAAAGTCAGAAAAGCGGAAGCGTGATAAAGATCAGAAAATCGAGCAACAGTATACAAAACGGTTTAACAGAGACGATTCCTCAAGTATGGATGAAAATCTGTCACTATTTGAATTGAAACTACAAGGACAAAATAAGAAAACATACGAAAAACAAGAAAAAAGGTCAGAAATGACGAAGCGTAATAATGCTCAAAAAATCGAAGAATCGGACGAAGAAGGAACTAAGAATAACATCCCCTAAATTGTCATCAATACGTTTAGAAAAATCAACATCAAATTTTGATTTAAGTGTTCGTTTGTTAAAGGTGATTATGTTCTGGTAAACTATGAGGGTTCACATTATCCTGGCCTAATAAAGGCTGTTAAAAATAATGAATATAAAGTAAGTGCTCTCCACAGTACAAAAAAGAACACTTGGAAGTGGCCGTCACCACCTGATCAAATTTGGTATTACTCGGATAAAATTGTGAAAAAAATTGCTGCTCCAATACCTCATAGCGCTGAAGGGAATTTTGTTATTAATATGTAAATGCAGCATAATGTTTTTTATATTATACTCTTACCTGTAACTAGCTTATGTTTAGTTAAACTTGAATTTTTGTAAAGCTTAATTTAATAAATTCGTTAAACAACGTTCATTAACTGGTCTTTATGTGTTTATTCACTGACTTCTATCGTTCATTTTCTAGATATTTCGCTTATTCGCCGAAAATAGACATTTGTGAAACCGTATTATTTTATTTTTGTGTCCAGGTAATATTTTTTTAATTTTTCAATTATAGATAGTTGCCTTTGTACCAGTTTTACCCCATATTATATAAAATAAAAAATCGTGATTTATTTAAAGTTAATACTTCGGTTAACTGTTCATTCACTGGTCGATTGACCCTAATCAATATTTATATTTTTATAGCTTACAAAACACAAGATGAAAAAGATATAAAAACACAAGATGAAAAAGATAAATATAGAAAAATAAATACAGAGATCAAACACAGTTGCACCATCGACAAGAACAACTACTATGAAAAAATATGCCAGGAAATAGAATCTCACGCTTTCACAAATCAACCAGGGGACCTATTTAAAAAGATAAAGTACCTCACAAGAGAATTCAAGCCAAAAACATGGGCAATAGAAGACGATCGAGGACAACTTAAAACCGAAATTAACGAAATAGTGGAACGATGGCGAACATACTGCGGAACACTGTATAAAGAAAAAGATCCTCAGCCTAGTTGCTCTTTCCACAGTGATATAATTAATGAAGAACCAGACATACTGAGATCGGAAATTGAAGCAGCAATAAAAAACCTAAAACATCATAAAGCCCCGGGACCAGATCACATCACGGCCGAAATGCTCCAAGCGTCGGGAGATTTTTTTGTGTGGACATCTTGCACAAGTTATGTAATATGATATGGCATACTCACCAATGGTCATCAGATTGGACCGATTGTTCCATAATAACCATCCACAAAAAGAGATCTCCAGCCAAATGCGACAACTTTCGTACCATTGCGCTAATTTCACAAGCCAGTAAGATTCTTCTTCATATCATTAACGAAAGGTTAAAACCGTATATTCAACCACAAATCCCTCCAGAGCAAGCAGGATTCACAAGAGGTCGAGGAATACGTGAACAAATTTTGAATGTCCGTCAGATTATCGAGAATTTAACAATCCGCTCTATATTTCTTTCATAGAATATCGAAAAGCTTTTGACAAAGTCAAATGGTCAAAACTATGGATGGTTCTTAAAGAAATGGGCGTGCCTCTTCATTTGATTTAATTGATCCAGAATCTCTATGTAAATACCATCTGGTAGAATTACCATCAATGGCGTTACTTCGGAAGACTTCCAGCCTACCTGTGGTGTTAGGCAGGGGTGCATACTATCTCCTCAGTTATTCAATATATATACTGAATATATCATGAGAACGGTCACGTTATGAGGAGGGATACTGGCTGTATGGAAAAACTCATTATACAGGGCAAGGTTCCGGAAGGAAGACCAAGAGGCCGCTCGCCCTCCCGATGGATAGACCAGCTATCAAATATCACCCACAAGCCACTGCACACGCTTGTATATGAAGCACAAGACAGGGAATTATGGAGACAAACCTCACACATCACCTGATAAATTAGGCAGTAATATTTACCTTTACTGCCTTACTGCCTACCTCCATTGCTTTTGGATGTAAATACAAAATATTACTCCAAATTTTAGAAATTAAATGAGAATTTCACTCGAACTTCCAATATTTGCTTGATTTCTGTCACATAAATGCAACCGGAAAAACCAGGCTTCTCGCGCTGGTTAGTTTGGTGACAGTTATAACCGAATTTTTCAGGAACCGTGTTCCGTCATAAGAAAACTTTCAGGAAACCGATAGAAACGGAACATAAAACCATAACCAAGGTAAGCAACGGAATACACCCTTTATTTAATACAAAAATTACATAGTTATATAGGGTGTTTCAAGAAACATGTGCCATTTATCATGGGGAGATTCCTCACATAAAAATAAAATTTATTTTTCATAATAACATAAGTTCGATTCTGCTTTATTTCGTAGCTACAGGGTGTTAAAGTCTTAATAATCTTTCGATTTATTATAATTTTCTTCCAAGTACTTTTAGTGATTCGAATGAAATTAAGGGTAAAAGTTACTATAAGTGCTACATATTTTAATGCTAAAAAAGTGTCGATAAGTTCATCAGGGACATGCATATGAGACTATAATAAAAAAAATATAGAATTAAATAAGCGTGTTATCACGTGGCGTGTTACAAATGTATACACCCTTTCCCACGTCTCAACACGTAGGGTAACGTGGCGTGGCGTGGCGTGGCGTGTTGCTAATGGAGTCCGTGCTTTAGTTTTGATTTACGTTATTGATATTTTTTCCTAACCTTAAAATTTATAATCACCTTTTCCGTAGCATTGAACCGAATAAATTTTACGTCTTTCTAATGTAATAATAATAATAGCGTTTATTTCCAACAGGAAATTAGAGCCCACTTACAGGAAATACAATCTTAAAAATGGGTTGATACTAAACATTAAATATGAAATTTACAAAAACCAAAACCAAAAGAAAACTAAACCTAAATGTATTAATTATGATAATAACAAATTATTAATTATTAAATTATTATTATAAACCATTGCTATACCATTGTTATAAACCATCGTTAACTATTCATGCCCCCCACTCACCAGTGAGACCAAACGACCCACAGAGCAGTCAAACACATTACAGTCAACGGAAACAGAGTTAACGTTGCTACACATAGTGAAAATCGGATCCTGAAACTTAACGTTAGTTCTGGCTCGAAAAAAGCGCAAAAATGGTATTCGCTCTGGAGGTAGGTCGCGGCACCCGGAATGGTATCGTTTCCAAAAGAGTTGGGGAATCTATACGACCATTCAGCAGCTTCCATAGGAAAGTTACTGAGTGAATGATCCTTCTCAAGGAAAGTGGTTGCACAACGAACCGAGACAACAACTCAACGTGATCCACACCTCTAACAGGGTAAACCCCCTCCTCCCTGAACACCAGTTGCTTTAAGAAACGCCTCTGTACTGATTCAAGTGATGCAACATGACAATCATACATTGGACACCAAACGATCCATACTCCAGCCTTGGCCTGACCAACGAAAAATAAAGCAGCTTGAGAGGTTCAGAACTAACAAAGAATTTACAGTTTCGAATAATAAAGCCAAGAAGTCTTGATGAATTCGCAATATAAAGGTTAGTCGGTCGTCAAATACGACACCCAGATCCTTAAACGTTGTCTTTCTAGACAGTATATTGTTGGCAATATACTGTAATCAAACTGCACGGGAACCTGGGTTCTATGATATGACATGACACAGCATTTCGAGGCTTTGAGGCTCAATCGATTCTGAGTACACCACTGGTTAATTTCATCAATATTGCTTTGCAAGAATAGACAGTCCTCATGCCCGTCAATCTGCCAGTAGATCTTCAGATCATCAGCACAAGCTAGTTTTAAGCTGGAAATGCTTGTTAAGAGGCCGTTGATAAATAAATTGAATAGTGGTGGGCCAAGACTGGACCCCTGGGGAACTCCGTAAGTTGGAGTAAATGTGTCCGAGCTGCAACTCTCGACCTCGACAAACTGAAGACGGTCAATGAGATATGAGGACACGAGTGCTGTCAGTCTGTCAGAAAAATTGAATTGTCTACTTAACTTCACTAGCAAAATTTGATGATCGATTTGTTCAGATGCTTTGCTAAAGTCAGTATACACCACATCAACCTGACCCCTTTTATCAAGAACTGAGCTAACAAAGTGTGACAAGGCACAGAGGTTAGTAATACATGATCTTTTAGAATAGAAACCATGTTGGTCATTAGATATTCTGGATCTACACTGCGAGAACAAGGACTTATAAACACGATAATTTCAAACAACTAGGAAACATTACAGAGTATGGAAATAGGCCGATAATTGTCAACTCTGTGGAGGTCGTCCTTTTTATGAACCGGTCGAACTTTAGCTGATTTCCAGGCAACCGGAAAAAAGCCATTCTTCCGAATTAAATTAAAGATGGCATAGTGGAAGGCATAGAATAAACGCGCAATCTTTTACAATGAAGCTGGGAATGCTATCCGGGCCCGCAGTCATTTTGTTCTTAAGGGACCTACTCGCAGTGATAACTTTGTCGACGGTTATTGTTGGGGAGATATCAACAAGATCAGAGGAGGACAACAAAGGAAAAACATCGTCTGCTTGGGCAGAATTCCTATACGCACTTTGGAAAAAGTTTGCAAACGCTGATACAGTTTCTTCTGGGCCCGGAAATGAAGCATCAAGGGGGTCGTACATAGTGGCTGGGAGCAATGATTGACCACGTTTAGCCTTAATAAAGGACCAGAAGGACGAGGGATCAGTGGCGATGTTGGCCTCTGTACGGGTCACATAAGCCTTATAGGCTTCTCGATCTAATATGCCGTATTATCAAATAAAAACGGAGTCAGCGATGGCTGTGAAATGAAGATCGCTGTCATTTTATACGTAAAATTATATAGGAAATGTCATCGATCGTCATTTCCAAGCCAACTGGACGGCTTTTTTTCGATCATACGGTATTAAATCTAAATATAAATAAATAAAAAAATAATGAAAATTAATAATAACCATCGTTCACGTTTGAAGATAAGACTTTCTAATAAATTTATTCTAATAAACGCTTTACCTAGAATGTTTATCTGTATGCTCTGGCACTGAGCGATCCTGTGATGTTGGAACTTCATCATCCTGGAGGCGGCCATCTGCATCGAACCGAAAACCGCGACGACTTCGAGGATTTTGTCGTCAAAGGACGGCGCTAAAAAGACGTCGTCTTCCTTCGTTCCGCCCCAGAAGTTTATTCCGCCCATAAACCTGGAACAATGCAGTGTTAAGTGTGTCTAGGTTTTATTACGACACAGTACAAAGACTAATAATAGACGCGTAAAGCGCGACACAAAATTTATGCGTATCTTTTGATACGTAAAGGCTCCCATACACTTCGGTTAATTTAGGTTATGACCGTACACGATGTCCCATTTTCGTGTGTTTTACAGGCTTTCTCGCTTATCGGTAGGGGTACAAAGATGCGGGTTTCACATCACTATGCTACTTTTTTATGAAACTAAAGATGCTGCACACAGATTTGTATTAGGTCTCATTAGTTCCGGAAGTACAAGGCGAATTTGAAATTGTTATATTTTCGACATCCCCCGTATCTCGGTTATCTTTTTTTACGTTTCTCTTTATTTTACGTAGAATTAAGTGGCTTTCCCAGATTTTCGCTGGAAGTTGTTATTCTTGATATATGACCTAAACTTATGTTTTCTTTTAAATGGGATACCCTGCATATTATTTTTTTTATTTACCTTGTTATGACCACAATAAAAATACAACGCTGCCAAAAAAATTTAGACTACCTATTTTATTTTTAAATAGGATCTAATATAAATAATTTTGACTTCTAATTTGTTGTTTATATTTTGCTGCTATTTAAAAAATAAATAAATGTTTATATTTCATGATTTTAAATTTTGTTGTTAATAGGTATAACAAATTATTACTGTTATTATTATTTATTAAACCAGTCTTTGCTTAAAAAACATTAAAAATCATTTTCCTACATCCAAAATATAAAGTATTATAGCAGTGTAACAACAGAGTATATTAATAAAAAAATGCAAAACATATAGACATACTATCCCTAACTAACTAATACCAAAGAATAATAAAGTAAAGATTTCAGTTAACGTCTCCTTTCTGCTGCCAGGGTTAATCTGGACGGAGCCTACTTTGTTTACGCGGAATCCGAACCGTGGTCCTCGGCCTACCAACATGGTCAGTGGCCTACCAACTTAGGAAGTGTCTAAATTAACTCTTACTCACGAGATATCCGATCTCATCCGGCCTCGAACCAGCGTGAATGAGCAGTGTGTATCAATAGATTTTACATTTTTCCCTTGGACAACAGCACGATACAGAGTTTCGAACCGGTCACCCGTCCATCCACCAGTATCGCCTTACGCCGCTTAACTTCGGTGTTCTAATGGGAACCGGTGTTTCAACGTAGCTAGGCCCTTGCCTTTCCAAAGAATAACATTCTTTGTTAATACCAACTAATAGCAATATATGGCAACAGCGCCCTTCATAATGTATTTTCTGTGTAAATACTAGCACCTCAATAAAAAAACAATGTATCATTTGCAATATTATTGAACACACATTGAATATTGGTACACTGGTACGCTAACTGCCTATCTTGTGATGTCACGTGAATTATAAGTACTATTGCTTACCTGGGAATGTTTAGTATAACAATTCCTTGTAAGCTAGGTAACGGTATTCTTTGTCCATCGCATTCCAGTTGTACTCGTTGTTCCAAATTTTTAAAGGTCCGTTGTAACAATTCCTTTCCTCCTAGAACGCCATACCACAAGTAGTTTTTTGCCCGTGATCTGCATTTTTCAGGATGCTCTAGAACAAAAAAAGATACATGTATATTGAAATTACTTTTTTTGGTTCGTGTTATTAGGTGTGCTTTGTGTTATTTTAAGTGGAGGAAAAATCGAAGGAAAATTAATTGTAGACCCAGAGCACCGTTTATAGTAAATAAATAATCGGTGCCCAGAGAGCCACCAATAGCCGCCACTAAAGTTTGTATACCATCTCGTATATGGTACTAAAAACTGGAGTAGGTAAATAATAGATTTTAGTACTTGAGAAAGGTACTGGTTTAAAAAATTAAAATTTAAGTTGTTTAATCAACTTTTAGGTATAAAATTGAGTAAGTGTTACTATTAATAAAATATTTTGTTTTATTTATGTTGTGTTTTATTTATTCCTGTGCAATATTTAAAAAAAATATATGCACCAATATTTTTTTTTAAATAATAATATATAATAATCTCAAGTACTAAAATCTTTTATTTACCTAGTCCAGTTTTTAGTACCATATACGGGATGGTATACAAACTTTACTAGCAATAGTTATATTGGTAAATATAATAATAATTGCAGAAAGTTTGTTGAAGTTTGAAAGTAAGTTCTTTTTAATATTTTTTTTGGTATGTGGTGTTTTGTTTAAAATACACTCTTGTTAGTTTTGTATTAACACAGACGGTAATATAAAAAAAATTCTCGATTAGAATTTTTCAGTTATAGGTATACAGTTTTTTTTACAATTAGGCCAGTAAGCGAGGGTTTTAGGCTCGGAATTCTGAACACCTACACCGATTGACGTGAAATTATAACAGAGATATATGTAAGAAACAAAAGTTACATAGTAGCGATGTGTGCTCTCACCCTGGGGGTGAGTGGCACCTCTTCTCGGGGATGAAAAATAAATCACCCATTTTAATTGCAGAAATCAATAAAGGGATGAATTCTAAGCAAAAAATGTTCTATAACATTTTTTCAGAAAATTAATATTTTCCTAGATATTTAGGATTGAAAATGTTGATTTTTCATCTAAAAACTGCATATTTTTCTGCCATTTTTTGTAAATAACTCGAAAACCTTGCTCGCAAAACGATATAAAGCAAAAATGAAGCTTTTGGAATAACGAATCGATTTGTTATTAGTTGATTACCGTAGGTGTAATAATAGTCGAGTTATCACTCTGTAAAGGTGATTTTTTGTTTTTCGAAACTAAATTGCAACATTTTACCCTAAAATAATGGCGAAAGAACACATTTTTCGAAGAATATGAATATGACCGTTTTTAAAAATAAAAAAAAACTTGAAAATACCTTTTAAATATGTTTTTATTCGTAGCTCAAAAACTCGCGGAGTTATGATAAAAATAAAATGGTCCCCTCATTATTTCGGAAAAAAATTAACAACAAAATCTATGACTAAAATCTTACATATCATATATTATAAGCACACATCGCCACTATGTAACTTTTGTTTCTTACATATATTTCTATTCACTGTTAAAATTTCACGTCAATCGGTGCGGGTGTCAAGAATTCTGAGGTATTACCCTATTTTTATCCTCGCTTACTGGCCTATCATGAAGTAATCACTTGTCACTCAAATGTTAAATATATTAATTTCATGCTATGCATTCCAACTGTACCAACTCATTTCTTTATGAAATAAAATAAACTAGTTTGAAATTAAAATGACAGACACATCTATCACAAGGATTTTGTCGTTGGACAGACTATAGATGCCATGGGCTCGATTTCTGAGACACGTTTAATGGCATATAAACTGATGCCTGTCCATCTCAGCTCATTTTGATCTTGACAACTGCCTATAACTTTTTTATTTCGCGGAATAATAAAATTCTGTAAACATGTTCTTAGGGCACTTTTTAAACACAATCCAGTGGCGTAGTCACTTTTTTTCTGTACTTGTTCTTTTTGTCAGAAATAATAAAAAGTATATTTTTTTAAATGGCAATCATAGTTTTTTTAAAGAAAGGATTAAGAAAAAAGTAAAAAATAGAAAATACATCTTTGTTTGAATTGTGACGGCTGTTTTATATTTACAAGAACAATATTGCTGACAGTACTTTGTCTATAAATACCTTCTCGTTTATGATGAAAATCGAGCGATATTTTAGCATCAATACCAATTCCAAAATAGTTGTTCATGACGCATCGCTCATAAAACCCTTCCATTAGGGTCTCTTCTGGATCCATTAGCGGACTAACAGCTGCACATAATGTATCAGCGTTGGCCAGCAGGCATTTGCTGATAAATCCTCTACTAGTGGTAACATCTAAAGCAAAATAATATCAATCAAATTTTTGTATTAAAGTTTATATTTTTTTACAAACAAGATACCTAATCGATATTTGAATAACTCGATTTTACTTTTGTTATTGTTTTGTAAGTCTGTAACATAATAGTATACTGTTTCATTAGGAATAAAAATGATACTTTATGTGTACGTTTGACATACTGCCGAGGTACAAAAAGTAATTTATACTCAGAATAGAACATGCTATTTTTTCAAACAATTTCAGTTCATAATATAAAAATATTTAACAGTAATACCTTGTAAGTAATTATACAGGGTGGTCCGAACTGTATTCCGGAAACTTTGCAGATAAAAATAACTAAAAAAAGTTCGTATAAATGTATGTCCTAAAATGCTTAGTTTCAGAGATGCAGGGTGTAGAAGTATCACTTTTATTTCGATTTTTTCCAAATAATTTCTGAAGTAACGTCAATATTTGGTTGAAAATTGATATCTGGGAGTTTTTTGACATGAGAAATGTGATTTTGATGACAATCTGACTCCTATTTGTAGGGGGCGTCACCTACATGTGTTTTCACCATGGTACAAAGAAAACAAGGTATGATCGATAGCGGCTCCAATTTCGTTAAGTTTGCGCATACCACCTGTGACGTCATACGCCATACAGAAAAATATCCATATTGTTCAATTGCCACTAATAAAAAAAAGACCTAAAATATGGAAGAATCAGGACATAACCCCAAAAGTTATGTCAAATTATCGAGCTTGACATTTGAAAAATTATTTTCGCGTTTATTGTGTCATCTGTTTGACAATTTGAAATTGGCGCGCGGAGCTTGCCGACCAATGGTGCCGTTTATCACCTGTGACGTAGTAACCAACCTGCGCAATATCATACCTTGTATACTTTGTATCATGTGTTTTCACTGTTTTGAAGAATAACAACTTTTCGTCCGTACCAGTATAAAACTGCTGAGTGAACAAATATTCATTTACATAATTTTTTACGTAAAAAATGTCTCTCCGTAAAAATCGTTACGAGCAACCGTTCTCAAGATATTTAGAATGGAAATAGTCAATACATGTCATTATTGACAAAAAATAAACATGTTGAGTAGATAGTTGTTTGACTGAAATGATAAATTTGGAAACTTTTTATTTTTTTAAATTAATCATAAATTTTTCTTCGAAAAAATGATGATAAAACAGTTTCTGTTGAACTTTTAACACAAAAACATTTCAAATTTATGATTTCAGAATAATAAGTCATTAGTGTCATTCCTGTCATTCTCCTCACGACAAGTATGGCCGCCTAGACAAGGACAGCATTGTTTTTGTCTAACTATTGTCTAACTTCACAGTTTAGAATTGACAGATTTCAGTTTCAGAGACAACTTCAGATTTGTTCTAGAACAAATTCGAAAATATTCGACGCCATTTTAATTCATTCCGTTTAGTTTCGTTTTGGAAGTTCAATTTAATATTTCGGCTGAAATTTATAAATATAAAGGTAATAAAGTATATAAAATATAAATTACATGAAGAATCCTGGAGAAAATGACGTTTCTGCAGTAGTAGGTATGTCCCATGTATATCAAAAATAGGTAGTAAATAAACACTGTTTTTACATTTTTTAGATGCAAGAAAATGGTGTTATAATCTCTTTGATCGGCGATTTTTTTGAAAATGGAAACAATTTACAGCAAGGTAAGATCATTTTTAACTATAGCCAACATTAGTTATCTCCAGTATGTGCGATTTATTGTCAATAAAGCAATAAATCGGACTGATAATCTGATTATGTTATCCGACTAAAAGTCTCTTTTTGCATCTTTTTGATTTATAAGCCAGGTTCTTTGGGAATAATGGACGCTTTTTTTAAACAGTTTATTTATATTTTATACCTATTGATATTTTTACATTGTTAATTTTTGTATAAAAAAATTGTTTTTCTGTTTTCAGGTTTTTGTATAAGGCTCCCGTTTTCATGTTCCTGTGTCCGTTTTCTGTCCTTGAAGTTTGCGAATGCGTGTGTTTATTTACAATTACTGTAAGTCATCATCAACTTAACTAATTTACGTTAAAAGTGCATATAATTAACTAATTGGTATTGAAACAATACAATCCTCTATATTTTTATATTTATTTAGTCACGTTGTTCCATATTTCAAATAAATATATGTGAATAAATTATTTTTTGGTTTTATTTATGAAAAGAAAAAATACAAAATACATTTGAACTGAAAGAGGGCCCGTCATTGAATAACCGGAAACGGAAATGAAAATTAAGCCATCATGTCCTTATCATGTCAACCTGTCAATTGGAAAGTTAGTTCTCCAGACGACAACGAAGGCTTTCGGTGGCGTATCGTGTTTCCACGATTTAACACAGAGTTGACACTTCTTTCTAGTTAATTATTTTATGGCTTCATTCAGAACCTCGAAATCAGTGGAATAAATTAGTAGTTTCAACTAGACGTAGAAGTTTGTTCACCTAATTTTAATGTAAGCATTCAGAACGTCATAATTAGTGGTAGTAATTTTCAATTATTGGAAAAAGTTAACAAACTTTTGACTTTTGCACTAATTATACTTCAAAATTTGCGAGAAATGTCATTTTGGCCTTTGATTATCACCCGTCAAGAAAAATTTTGGTTAGAAATCAAAAGTTTATTGTTTTATAAGCTAAATATTAGGCTTTCTCTATGGATACCACTTACTTCCGCATGCTGTTGCTAGGATATTCTATTAATTTTAACTGTGTATTTTAAACATTGTGAATGATCGTAAACTAAAAAGTATAAAGTGTAATTGGAACCACTAATTTATTCCAATAATTGCGAGGTTCTGAATGAAGCTTTAAGCTTTAGGTTTCAATTAGCGTAGAAGTTTGTTCCTTTAATTGCAATGTTAGCATTCAGAACGTCAGAATTAGTGGTAGACATTTTCAATTCCTGTGTTCTGCAATGTCCATATATGTTTTATTTGTAATTTTATGACGTAATTTTTTTTTGAATTGATTTGTATTGTATGACATTTTTATTTGTTTATTTGTATATTTGTTTTTGTGTTTTTTTGTTTTGCTTTGTCGATGAAGCTGTTTTGGCTTTTTGTACAATAAAGCGTTTGTTTGTTTGTTTTTGTTTTATTAGTAGAAAAAGTTGACAAACTCTTAACTTTTCCACTAACTATACTTCAAAATTTGCGAGAAATATCATTTTGGCCTTTGACTATCTTACGTCAAGAGAACCTAACCTAACCTAACCCAACCTAACCTAATCACTAATTTATTGCACTAATTGCGAGGTTCTAAATGAAGCTTTAGAAGAAATTCAACACTATTTTCTGGTTTTTCTTAAATTTCTCTGAAACGATATGGGAATTTGGAACAGTATAAACGGGATTCGCCATTTTAGGACAAACAAACATTTTAATGAAGAATACAGTTTTCTCTAAATGTCAATAATAAAAAAAAGTCTTTCCTCTTGTAAAGACAATCCGGGGACATAGTGTAGAGGTTTTTCGGAAGCCTGGGTCTAAACATAACAAAACATGACTAAACATAATTTGAAAAGACATGATATATACTTCTATTTTAATTAAAATTTGATCAAAATCTACAGCTTGGAAATATTTAATATTTCTAAGCTGTAGAGTAGTTTCAAGGCTCCAGAAATAAAGAAACATTATTGCAATTTATGAACAATTGAAAACTAACTTGGCCACGACGGCAACCGCACCAACGGATTGATGATGGGCAGTTTCCGTTTCCGCTTTGGCTCCTTGTCCTCGGCCTTCCTGTCCTTCTTCTCGCTGTCCTGGTAGAACTTGGTGGTGGCCGCGGCCGCCGCCAGCGCCGCCGCCTCCTGCGGGTTGAGCATGCTGCAGCAGGAAATGCGGCGGGTGGCTGCGGGCGACCGCATCGGCGCGTAGTCGTGGTCGACCTGTCAAACAAAACATTATTGCAGGAAGTGGCGGAGGCAGTGGTGCGGGGACCTATGCGGGCCGGAAAATCCGGATTGTTATGTAAATAGCCGAACGTTCTCGTAAATATATATGGTGGGCCAAATTGGGCACTTTTAAAGGAACACATCCTTTTTCAATAGGAGATAGATGAAAATTAAGATCAGTGCCTGGAGCTCAATTTTTATCAAAAACATGATGGTGAAAACCGCACATCGATATCTGTTACCGTTTCGGAGTTACGGGGTGTTTTTCACAAATGTGCAGTTTTAACAAATCGCTGTAACTTTTTTGCTATGGAAAATTTTGTATTTTCCTGAAAACATTTCCAAAGTACCTTTTTACGTAGAAATTAATAGTGTAAGTATAATTTTTTTTAAATTAATAATTTAAGAGTTATCAACTGATAAATTGATTTTTTATTTGGGACACCCTATATATTTTTAACTATGTAAAAAGAACTAAAATTACCTTTCCAAAAATATAGCACACTTGATATTTTGTTATATATATAGTCGCCTTCGAAATACAGGATTTTTAAAAGTTCACCACTTTTAACTAGTAGTCTTTGGACCCCTTATTGATGATCTGCCCCTAATAGAACTCGAAAACATATTTTTCCAGCAAGACGAGGCCCCGCCACAGAACGCTGAAGTTATCAGCAAATTTTTGCAGCCAATTTCGAGAATAATTGAATAGCTAACCAAGATTCCAGCCGTTGGCCGTCGAGGCCGCCGGATTTAGTTCCTTTTATCCTTAGTGGATTTTTATCTTTAAAAAAAGAATAAAGGTTCTTATTTTGAAATTGCCTGTATAATCTAGACAAGAATTAGAAGTACTTAGCCGTTATGCGAGGGTATCTTTTACCCCCACTAAGTTAATTAATTCCGTGAGAAATGTTCAAAAACAGTCCCGTCTGTCCATAACAGAAGACGGTCGACATGTCGAAAAATCCCATGTCTTGGTTTGCTATTAATTTTTATTGTTATTAGATATAGTTTAAATGTGTTGATGTTGTTAAATATAGTTTAAATTGTTATAAAACTCTGAATCTCTCATTGGAAATATTATTTTCGTTTTAATTGCTGCTCACAGCTACCAATTTTTTGCATTAAAAACCTACTTATTTAACCTGCTATTTCGCCGTTCAAAACCTACTTATTCAAAGTAGGCGAATTTTTAAAAACTCTATATCTCGAAGAGGAAAATACCAAGTATGCTACATTTTTGGAAAGGTAAAATTAAATTCTTTTCAATGAATTAAAAATATACAAGGTGTCCCATATAAAAATCAAATTTTCTGTTGATAATTCTTAAATTATTAATTTAAAAAAAATTATACTTAAGCCATTAAATACTGCGTAAAAAGATGCTTTGAAAATGTTTTCACAAAAATACAAAATTTCCATAGGAAAAAATTTACAGCGATTTTTTAAAAATGCCCATTTTTGAAAAACACCCCGTAACTCCAAAACGGTAATAGATATCGATGTGCGGTTTTCACCATCATGTTTTTGATAAAAATTGAGCTCCAGACACCGATATTAGTTTTCGTCTAGCTCCTATAGAAAAGGGTGTTTCCCTTTAAAAGCGTCCAATTTGACCCACCCTGTACATACAGGGTGTCCCATTTTCGGGTGATTTATGGGGTTTCTCATATACCGGGTGTTTTTCAAAAGTGGCTCACCCCTATAACTTTTAATTTTTTTTTCTGATAAAAAACGGAATTTGGTATATTATTACCTATATGTAACATAAATGAGGATTGATTGATGCGAAATGCATTCAATTGAGGCGTAAGTTGCAAAACCCGCCTTATCCATAACAAAAAAAATGGCCTAATGACATATATTAAGTCGCCTGTTCTTATATAAAATTCACTACAAATTACGTTACTGCAGCAAAATCCGTCTTATCCACTTATATTTGCTTTTTATTGTCATTATTTTTACAAATCCCACATTTTTTCATAAGCTTTTTAAACAAGTATAATATTTCTACAGACTGACGTCTTTTCAAATTCTTAATTAATTTTAATAAAATAATATATACCCCTTGCTATACGCCTATTCATAACCCACAAATTGAGTTACGGTTAAAAATACGATTTGGGCATATTTTAAGCGGCCAGGAAATTTACATTAAAACAGAAAACATTAGACTATCCGATGTATTTTCCAAGACTCCTTGATTAAAAATTAGTAGTTTTTATACAGCCATGGTACTCTAGATTGAAATTTAAATACATTTTTTTTTAATCGAAAATGTTAAAAATTGACATTATGATGCGACATTCTATTCAGAATGATATTTTCTATCATATAAAGTAAAAAAATAATCGAGGGTGCCATTTAAAAATCAAAAGTTGTAGTCATTTCCGGTTGAAACAGGAAGCGACCGAATCCCGATTATTGTCATATACTACAATAGTTCGTTTTTTTTATCTGAAAAAAAATAAAAAAAATTATAGTGGTGAGCCACTTTTGGAAAACACCCGGTCTACTCGTGAGTAGAAATTCAAAGATATGCGTTTGTCATATTACTATAGTACTTTACATGAAACTCAATATGCTACGCACAGATTTGTCCTAGCCTTTTTAAATTTTAGCCAATTTTAAAATGTTGCATTTTTTGACCTCCTTTGTATCTTGGTCATCTTATAACTTATTGAAAAGGAAAAATAAATAATGAGCCCGGTAAAGTTTTTCACGTAGAATTCAGTGGTGTAACTTGGCTTCTCGTTGGGAGCTGTCATTTTCGAAATATGACTCAAACTTATGTTTTTTAATGAAACACCCTGTATATTATTTTAAAAATATAATATACTCTATACTTATATTCATAAATAATTTAAAAAAAAAATAATTATTTAACTTTTTAACATTACTCAGTATTATTATTTTATTTAATTTAACCAGAAAATTTTGCTTACCATCGTTTTATCTTAATAAACTACACTGAAAGTGAACTTGTGTAGCTTTGAGACAACACTCTGTCAATCTGAGTTATTGTTAATATATTTTCATGCACTTGTGCAATCATTTCAAATACAGAAATTAGCGTTGAATAGTCAATAACCAATATTTGACGTCGTATAAATTATTCGATTGTTTTCATTACCTGACTGATGTTTAAAAATTTAATAATTAATTTTTTACCTTTATTTTTTTTTATGAAAGTATGTATAGAGTTTATTATTGTTCTAGAAATACAAACAAGGAATTTAAAATCTAAAAATAATTTCCAGGTTATCCCATCTAAAAAACATATGCTAGGTTATATTTCAAGAATAACAGCTCTCAGAGAATAACTAGTTGCTCTACTGAATTCAACGTAAAAGTATTGCAAGTTTTCAGCTTTTCGATAAATTATAAGATAACCAAAATGCAACAATTTCAAATTCGCCTTGTTTTTCAGGAACTAAAAGGGCTAGGACAAATCTGTGTCGCATCTTTAGTTTCATAAAAAAGTGACACAGTAACGTGTAACATTTATTCATAAACGAGAAACCCTGTAAAGTATACGAATATACAGGACACTATGTACTATGTACGTAAATTTTGGATGGCGTGTGATCTTAAAACATTAGTTGTATGAAAATATTTACAGGATGGATTTTAAGTTTTATATTACTTGACAGAATGCTGCAAGTACAGGGTGTCCCACTAAGAATAGCTCTCGGCTGTATCTCGGAAAGTATTAGCCGTAGGGCTTACGGAAAGAAATATTTATAACTAAAGGGGCTATGAGAAATTGCTGGAAATTATTTTCAAGTTTGTAAAACGGTCGCTAGGGGGCCCAACTGCTATGGAAAATAAGAAAATAGAATTTTTACAGAATTATGCCTAGATAATGGGTACTATAAATAATAGCTTCATAATCTTCAGTAAATTTTGGATTTTTTTTGTTAGAACCACTTTCCCCTATCTGCTAAAATAAAGTGGTGGCGGAAGGTTAGATCTATCTTTATTTAAATGTTAATAACTCCAGATTATCAGAATAGAATAAACGAGAGCTCGTTTAAAAGAGTAATAATAAAGTATAAGAGTATAATAATAAGTTTTTGAACGTAGACGCTAGGGGGCGCTTTCTTACAATTTAACAAACAACACCTTTTTTTCAAAAAAATTAAATACGATAGTATATGTTATTTTAATTGATAGTAAAGAGTAATAAAAGCTTATAAAGTCAGCGAAAACTGCATTTTGATATCTTCTTTCAAACCGAAGATATTAGCAAAATTATAATAAATACCAAAAAATAAGCCCTTAATTACCTTATTTTTACAACACGGTATATCAGTAGCCCTCTTGATTATGCCCATTCTAACAAAAAAATAAGATAGAAACAGTTAGTTTATTTTAAAATCAATACCAGATGTATTAATATCTAATATTTCAGATATTAATAACAGTTAAGAAACCATGATTCAGTGAAGTCATGGTAGCCTTTGGAAAAAAGTTGCATTTGATGTAATAGTATAAAAGTCAAATTGTTATTAGATCAACATTTTGATAGTCTTAGCAGCGTTTTTCATCTTGTAATTGCTTTTTCAAAATGCCTTTATTATTTGAAGTACTTGAAGTTGTTGGCATTTTGAAAAAGCAATCAAAAGATAAAAGACTATCAAAATGTTCATCTAATAAGAATTTGACGTTTATACTATAACGTCAAAAGCCTACCATGATTTCACTATTTATTTATTTAGCGTATGGCGTACATGGATTTAATTACAACATCAAATGTACATATTCAAACACAATATAACATGTAAACAGATTGTCACAAATTGTAAAAATAAAACTAGATATTTAAAATGTTATACACAAAACATATAATATAATTATATATTTTTTTTTCTATGATTTCACTGAATCATGGTTTATTATTCACTATTATTAATATCTTAATTATTAGATATTAATACATCTGGTATTATGGTATTCTGGTATTTCGTCGATTTTAAAACTAACAGTTTCTA